CTTTCTAAGCCCACCCCACCTTGCCCCAAGCAAGCCTTCCGAGAGCAACATGGTGTCTGCTACCGGGAAGAGCCTTCTCCCCCTTTATCTCTTCCTAGGCTGAATTTAATGTCAATGTTACATCTCAGATTCCTGTCCTTTGAAGGGAAGTCTTTGTGTTAAATGTCTTCATGTCTCCTCGTGGTTTTCCTTTGCGATAATTTTAGCTATGTGAACATTTATCTGTTTATTCTTCTGGGTTGTTGTATCATGTTTGCATTGCTATAACAACATACCTGAGAGATACTAACTTTATAAAGAAAAAAGTTTATTTAATATACAACTTTGAAGGCTGATGGTTCAAATGGCACAACACAAGCTCTGGGGAGGGCTTGCATCCTAACATCTTGAGGGTGCAAGTGTATTTCTATGCATGTTCTCTCTCCATTTCCGCCTAAACCCACCAGAATTTGGTTCCATCATGGAGGATTCGCCCAAATGAACTCCTCAAATCAAATCACTTCCCAGGGGCCTGAGTAGAACAATGGTAGTCACATTAAGTTTCTGTTTTCTTATTACCATTGATGTAAAACTTTGGGAACTAAAGTCCTACCTTCATTAGGGATGGACAGACCACATTTATAACTGCCTGTTGCTAGACCATTTTCTCCCTGGAGGGAAGCAAAATGAGCATTATTGGATCCTTGAGTCCCAACCCCAGGCAGAGGGTCTATGTTAGAGCAGCAGGAGCCCAATCAATGACTGTGGAATGCACAGCTCTCTGCTTGCAAATATCAGTCACATCAACAAATTTTTTTTCCCATTCTTGTATTCTGCATACCTTTGGATGGGTTATACATCTAGAAGTCAACTCTGGAGGGGACTTTTGGAGAGATGGCTCAGTGGCTAAGAGCATGTACTGCTCTTCTGTATGACCTGAGTTCAGATTCCAGCACCCACATTGAGTGACTCACAACTACCCCGGGGGAATCCCACATCTCTGTTCTCCACGTGAACTTGTGTATTGTCTGTATGAACTCCTGTGTGTGCATGCACATACACACACACACACACACACACAGAGAGAGAGAGAGAGAGAGAGAGAGAGAGAGAGAGAGAGAGAGAGAGAGAGAGAGACATACACACATACAGAGAGAGAGAGAGAGAGAGAGAGAGAGAGAGAGAAGCAATGCTCAGTCAGTAAAGAATTCACCACCTGAATTCAGTCCTCAGAACCCCTGTAAAAAACTGAGTGTAACGAAGTATAGCTACAAATCTATCACTGTAGAGGAGGAGATAGGGTGACAGGGTGACCGCCAGCCCATCCAATTGATGACCTCCAGGTTCAGTAAGAGACCTTGTCTCAAAAATATAAGGTGCAGAGCAATTGAAGAAGACATCCAACACAGAATAGACCTCTCACCTCCACAGCAGACACAACCCCCACCCCATACACAGTAACACTGTATTTACTGGGGTCTCAATAACTGAGATCTTCCTGATGGACAGAGGACTAATGACATTATAAAAATGATTTCATGAAATTACCTTACCACTGTGAAGTATATGATATTATTATTTGTGTATTATTGGAGAAGCAGTCAAGGCTAGGACATACCTAGGGTGAAGATCTTAGTGTAGAGAAAGGGGAGCTGGTGAGCAGGGTAGAGGGAACAGTGGGACAGTGAAGGGAGCATCAACCAGTGTTCCCCCTGCATAATCCTACCTCAGTATGCCTGTCTAGACCATTCAACAGCAATGTGCATCTCCCACATGCTGCTGCTACATTCCACAGCTGAGTCCCCTGAGAGCCAAAGAAGGAGATGGGCGGGAAGAGCCAGAAGAGCTGTGGTGATGTATTGTTTATAATCTAGAAAATAAAGCCTGCCTGAAGATCAGAGGACAGAGCCAGCCACAGAGTCAGCTACAGAGGCCAGGCAGTGGGGGCACACATCTTTAATAACTAGCACTGGAAGGCAGAGGCAGAGATCTGTCTGGATTTCTGTGAGTTTGAGATCACACTGGGCTACACAAGATTAATCCAGTCTAAGAGAAACAGAGCCAGGCAGTGCTGACTCACACCTTTAATTCCACCACTTGGGGTCACACACCTTTAATCCCAGCACTAGGAAGGTTGAGACAGGAAGTGATACGGCTGGGTAGAGAAAGGCATATAAGGCGGGAGGAGACAGGAACTCGCGCTCTTTCAGGCTGAGGAGTTTGTGAGGTCAGAGGTGGTGGCTGCGCCTTGCTCTCCTTCTCTGATCTTTCAACTTTCACCCTGATATCTGGCCCTGAGTTTTTATTATAGGACCAATTAGGATTTGTGCAACAAGAGCCAGCTCAGCAGCCACTGTGTTCAGTAACTATGAAACCCGCTGCTGTCTCCCTGTCTGTGAGAGGTCAGCTGAGACCTGGGTGGTCAGAACTACCTGTCTGAGACTCTGCTGGTCCAGCGAGCCTATGGTTCTGTTTCCATTTCCAATGCCCACGCAGGCTATACTATAAGGAATTTTTTTAATGCCATCAAGGTAAGTCAGAATTTGGTGAGTAAAGAGCTAATGTGGTGCTCTGAGGTGACAATGTCCTCCTAGTTTCTACTTCCCATCCTTGAAGCAGTGAAGAGGTAAGATTTGCTCAGGGAGATTGCCTGGGGTTTGTCTGTAGCACTTGAACCCTGTGACGCCAAGGGAACTCACGTGAAGGGGCTGCACTGAGCAGCTCTCTCCCCTGTAAAACTGCACCCGCGATCTGGGTGTGGGTGCTCCTGACTGTAAGCACTGCAGTCACTGCAAGTTTATGGCAGCATGGACTACACAGTAAGTTCAAGACCGGTCTGTACTACAGACCGAGCATCTTTAAAAGGAAAATAATGAGGAGAAAGATGGTCCAGCAGTTAAGACCACATACTGCTCTTACAGACGACCTAAATTTGGTCCCAGCACCGTATCAGGCAGCTCACAGCAGTCTGTAACTCCAGCTTCAGGAGATCTGATGCCCTCTTCTGGCCTCTGTCGTCACTGCACTCACATGAACACACACATACATACAACTAAAAACAACAACAAAAAAAATTAAATAAATTTTAAAATCCTGCTTGTGTTAAGTCTCGACAGCAACATTTTGTTTTAGTGTAACTCTTTAAGAGTCACTGAATGTTTTTAATTAACAGGACTAATTATTTTGGTGTAACATGAAATTAATGGATGAGAAATGTATTTGAGGCATAAAGACATTTGAAAAAACAAGACATTTGTAGAGGGAGAGAGATATTCTCATTATTTTGAGTTCTGAAGGGTTTTTGTTTATTTTTCTTCTAAAAGTATTTTTTGGGGATGTTTTGTTTTGTTTTGTTTATGTGTGTGGCTGTTTTGCCTGCATGCATGTCTGTGTACCTCTTGTGCCCCTGGTGCCTGAGGCCAGAAGATATCAAATCCCTTGAAACTGGAGTTATAGATGATTTGAATGACCATGTGGGTGCTGGGAACCAAACTCTGATTCTCTGCAAGAGTAGCCAGTGCTCTTAGCTACTGAGCCATCTTTTCAGCCCCAAAATCTATTAGATTTTTTTAAGCTCATGTGTACTAGTAGGTTTCATTATGGGATGTTCACACATTATCAGTGGAGTTTCTTTAGTCAACAATAACAGAGTTTTTATATTAAAATGATAAGAAAATTGTGTGTTTTTATAACTGCCTATTATTTTAACTGAGTTTTATGAGACAGAGTCTGACTAGGCAGTGCACACTAGCCTGGACTCTTGTATTACAAACCCCTGGATAGCCTTGAACTCAAGGTCCTCCTACCCCAGACTTCCCAGTGCTAGGACAATGTTCCGGTGCCAGAACCCCCACCCCTGTCCTGGCAATACCCATAATATCGGAAATTTCCAACCAAATGGGAAAAAATAACTCAAAAGTTACTTGGTTTAGATAAAGATATGCTTCCGTGAAGGAAAACAGATCCTGTGCTCAGGGCTCCATCATTTGATGGTTCCGTTGCTCGTCACCACTGAAAGTCCAGGAAAGCATTGAGCACCTAGAACCAAAGGCAAACTCTCACCTCTTATTTTGTACTGTTTTTCTCCTCATAAACTTTTTTTTTGAGACAGGGTCACACTATGTAGCCCTGGTTCACCTAGAACTGACTATGTAGACCAGGCTGTGTGGTGATATTTTATTTGTGCTCTAACGAATAAAGCTTGCCTGGGGATCAGAGGACAAAGCCAGCCACTATATTCAACCCAGGGGCCAGGCAGTGGTAGCACATGCCTTTAATCCTAGCATTTGGGAGGCAGAGATTCATCCAGATCTCTGTGAGTTCAAAGCCATACCAGGAACAGAGCCAGACATGGTGGCACATGCCTTTAATCCCAGCACCAGTTAACTATAGAGGTCTGGAGGTCTGTACAGACAGACAAGAAGTGATAGAGCTGGGTGGAAAGAGGAAATGAGATGGCAGGGCACAGAAAGGTATATATGGTGTGAGTATACAGGAAGTAGCTCTCTCTTGGGCTGAGGATTTCCTAGCGGTAAGAACTTGTGGCTGTGGCTTGTTCTATTCCTCTGATCTTTCAGCTTTCAACCCAATATCCATTTAGCAATTTGTATTATAAGGCTGGCCTCAAACTCACAAATATCTGCCTGCCTCTGCCTTCCAAGTGCTAGGATTAAAGATCCTAAGGGATCCTAGAGGATTTTTAATCCTTTCTCTCCTTCACAACCAGCTAACTTCTTACTACTGAAAAGAGCATACCTTAGGAATGAGAATGAAGCTTGTTTGGTAGAATGCTTGCCTACAATGCTGGAAGCCCTGGGTTTGATGCCCCAGTATAAACCAGGCATGGTGACACATGCCTGTGATCCCAGCATTTGGGGGGAAAGGCCAATCGAATCAAAAGTTCAAGGTTCTCAGATACAGAGCAACTTGGAAACTGGTCTGCTCTACATGAGACCATGTGTCAAATAAATAAGTTTTAGCAAAGAGGGAAAAATCAAAGAAATGGCGATGATACACGTATATTACATCAGTACATCTGATTTTTACAAGAGTTTTTAAGAAGAAAAATCCATCAGTATACCAAAGGAAAGGGCTGATAAGCAAATCACTTCCATTTGGCCCATATGATGGCTTGCAAGTTCACAAACACACAGACCCATATACATATTTGCTTAAAATGTAAAAACAATCAGTGTTAAAAAGGAAAAAGATGTGCAACACATTCACAATGTTAAATTCAGTAACAGGAATTGAACATACCACAGTTTAAGCTTGAGTGAGTCTCTTTAAATACTTTTATTGCATTATTATTTCATCAAAAAGTAATAGTATCAGCACAAATTCCTCTTCTCAGAGCTTGCACGGCCCCAGTACTGAGGTTGTGTTGTCTGGCAGGAGAATAGCTCGTGTCTACATTAAAGCTGGGATCTTAGAAGTGACATAAGCAGGCTTTTCTCTATAAAGATAAAAGGCTAAGCTTTAAAGGGCTTTATATTTATAGATAAATGTTTCCACAGTAATCAGTATGATAAAACTTGCTGGTGTCAGCACTCCTTTGCATACAAAAAAATGGCTTATTAAAATAAGCCCAATTCAATGAGTCAAACATAAATTAATCTACCTTAAAAAGTGTTTTGACTGTGAGAAAATCAGAAATGGTTGAGTTTTGTTGGAAAGCATACCACTTTTGGTCACAGGCACCAGGTACTCAAAGGAACACACAATAGACAGTGGTCTGACCTTCAAAGGCCATGAGGCCCCTGGGGGAGAGCACCTCACCTCAGCACAGTCTAGGGCACGCCCTCTGCCCCTGAGCCCAGAGCTCTGCATTTCATCTCCTCCTTCAGTCAGTTTGGCTTTAGGAAGAACATTAATTCAGGAAACAGAAAAAGAATGTTCAGAAGAAATCAAGACCAAATAGGAAGCAACACAATAGTGTAGCTTTTATAGCAGAGTCGCCAGCCACGTTTATTGCAGTAAACAGGTAAGAAATAATCTGTTTATACTCGTGGCAATTCAGCATACGTGGGTCTCCACTAGAAGCAAGTGCGGAAATGTCTAGTAGTCCCCACTGAAAGCCACATGGGAGTCCATCCATAACAGGAGGGGCCATCAGATAAGGCCCATTTATGAGATAGAACATCACAAAATGAAAGCAAATAAACTACAGTCCTATGCAAACACACAGACACAGTGTTGAGACAAAGAAAGCAGACACACAAGTCAAGACCGCTCGGGACTGGATGTGAAGTCTGAAGTCGAGATGATAACCTGGGTATAGACAGCAATGGGGGGTGGAGGGAGACACGTGAGGCTGCTGGGGCCTACTGATGTTTCCTCACTAACCCACTGGGCACAGTGGTATCTAAGTTGTGTGGGAAGTTTTCAAGTTGCTCGTCCATGCTTGTTGCACGGTTTGCACCTGTCACACTTTAATAACAATGGAAAAGCACAGTTCCGAGGCTGTCCGACCTCTCCCCACTGCATATGCATACACGCCCCCACTGTAAGCAGTTCAGCTGTCTGTCCATGACACCTCCTCCTTCTGCCTCTGTTGGTTAGTGACCATCTAACATTCATAAGAGATCACTGATACAATGCAAAGTGTGTTGGGGTGTGCATACCCACTCCTACCCCAGGTGCCCACAGTTTTTATATTTCTGGAGACATCTGTTCAGTTGTTTGGCCATCCAAAGTCTGCAGATTCTTCTAGGGAAAAAAAGCAATAAAAAGCGTGAGTATGTGTGTCTTATGTACATTTTCATATGTACTTATGTGCGTAAGTGTGGGCTTGTTCTTATGTGCACACATACGTGTGGAGGACATCAGGTATCTTTCTTAATCACTTTCCATCTTGGCTTTTGAGACAGGGTCTCTCACCAAAACTGGAACTCACTGATGCCGCAGACAAAGCCCTGGGGATTCTGCTTTCTCCATCTTCCCAGGGAAAAGTTTGCAGGTCCATGCTGCCACATCCAACTCCTAATGTGGGTGCCAGGGCTCTGAAACCCAGTCTTTAGGTTTGCACAGCAATTCACTAACTGGATCATCTTCTCAGCCTTCAAAGAACAGGTTGTAAATGAATAAGGATACTGTTCTGAACTCCACAGTGTTAACACTTTACAAGAGGTCAAGGACAGACAAGTGAGGGCACTACAGCTGCAAAGATGGAAACCTGCAACTGGCCACCCACAGGCTGCGAGGGGAACACGTGGGGCTCTAAGGGACCAGCAGGTAGAATGTGCAATGGCGTCCTTGCGCCCCCACCCCAGGGCTTATTTAGTTTGACATTCTCATGACTTCCCGTGTGGCACTGCAATATTTGATAAATGGGAAATTAAACCGAAAATGTTCAAAACGCCTCAGGAAGTTCTCCTGCTCTGTCTGTTTGCATGTTTGCTTGTCTGTCTTCTCATCCTCCAGTGTGAGTCACAGCCGGGTGTGCAGAGGAAATGGTGAGGCTGGTGACACAGCGGTTGAGAAGCACCTTGAGAGTCCCACCTCCAAGACCCTTAGCTAGCTTCCTCATGGTGAAGCAAGGGCCACCCTGGAGTGCTCTCAAGGGACCAGAGTGAGGATCACCTGACAAGAGAGGAGAATGAGAGGGTCACTCCATCCACATGCATCCTTACTGCTCTTCCATTATAGGTCTTAAAAAACTGTTCAGCGTCTGCATTTGTCCACTACATGAGCTATAAAACATGGATTCCTCGCTGCCCACATCAGAAGGCCGCCAGACACTTTGCATTGCTTTCAAGAAACCACGGGTGCACTAGCAACTATTTTCACTTCTGGAAGTTGGACACTGGGGCACAGAACCCCTGTGACAGGAGTGTGTGTAGGAAGCTCCGAACGACCAGAGGAACGAAGTCTCCAGAATCAATGCTGCCTTTGATCTGTCTTATCACCCCACCTGCTTACTTTAAGACATTGAAATAGGTTTTTGAGGTGAGACGCAGGGGGACTCGAGAGGCTAGGATTGAAAGGAGGCGTGAAGGAAGGCTGCAATGGAGGGCGGTGATTGGCAGGATCCAACTCGCTCACAAAATGCCTTTTGGTGGTCTCCAGAGAAGCGCTGCATGGCAATTTGCCGCCTGTATTCAAATATATTTAATAGTCCTCGTTGCCTTCCTAATCACGCTGCTCATAAGGGAATTCCTATCCTGAGATGTAACAGAGGCTCGGCAAACATGAGGAATGAATACCAGCAAAACAGACAGCGCAGACGCTTCACCCACAACGCTTTACAAAAGTAAAGCGGGGAATGAAAGCCAGGACACAGCCGAGTGTTTCCTAAGGATCCAGGAAAACACCCGACTGGCGCTTGGGCTAGGATTTCTTTTCCCTTCTTTCCTCGTCTTCCTTCCTCAAGCAAAATGAACAAAGAGCTCGCTGGACAGACAGATGCTCTTTCATTCTGTTAGCTCCCCATGCACGGTCAGCAGAGAGGGAACTCGGGGCCAGGAATGCGGTACACTAACTGAGACCTGGGCTCTTCAGTTTTATGCCATAAGAACTCTGGGTAAAGGATAAACTCCCATAGAGCATGATGGGAGAAACAGAGCGGAAGGAATGGGGAGGAGCGCAGTTTCCATGGCCACTCTTACACCACACTCCAGCCCAACAAGGTGTCACACTGTAATAAATCACATTTTTTTTTTGCAATGCTGGAGATTGTAGCCAGAACTTTGTGCATGTAAGACACATACTCTGTGACTAATCTACTTGAAATATCTTGTTTTCTTTCCTATGAGAATATAATTTAATTATGCATACAATTATATACATATATATATGCTTACACACATGTATATAGGACATGCCAGCATAGGGGAGTGTGGAAGAAGGAAGGGAACCGCAAGCTGAAAACAAGAGAGGGTGTAGGGGTGCAAATATAAGCAAAACACAATGGCACACACGCAGGAAGCTTCTCCTAGTGCAGCCCACTATTTGGTACACTAACTGAAAAATTAATTCAAACAAATTTAGGGCTGGAGAGATGGCCCAGTGGTTTAAGAGCTTTGGCTGCTCTTCCAGAGGACCCGGGTTTAATTCACAGCACCCACAAGGCAGTTCACAACCATCTTTAACTCCAGACCCAGGGAACCCAATGCCCTCTTCTGTTCTCCACAGGGTCCTTCCTGCACAGGCATGAACACACACACACACACACACACACACACACACACACACACACACACACACAAACATAAAAAAAATTAAGAAATCTGTATAAATCAAATCCATATATGTGAATGCTAACAAATTGTTGGGAAGGGTCAGGATCCAGCTACGCATTGAATTATTTAGCAAACACTGCCACCATGCCACAATGCTAGACATAACTTCCAAGTCCATGTACTAAGGCCACAGCTGGTGAGTTCCGCACTAGGAAATGGTGTGGGTGATGAGCTCAATAGCTTTGCAAGCCCTGGACCAATGGCAGTGACCCCACAGGAAGCCCCCACACAAACCTTAACCCCAGAGTGAACTTTGCCCTAAGCCAAACTATATTACCAATAAGATGTCACCACCTGTCTATATAAGAAAACAGTTGTTAAATTTTAAGTAAAGAAGAACAAAGGAGTATAAGATGAAAACAAGTCTTACAATTCACCAGCGTGCAGATGGAGTTGGAAAGAAAGCTCCACTAGGAAGCAACCTTTTCTGAGTACAGATGAGCTGTGTAAAAGGAAATTACACAACCAAGTTCTTAAGATTTATTTTTAAATTCATGTGTATGAATGATTTGCAGTATGATTTTATGTGTATCATGTGTGTGCAGTACCCAAAATGGCCAGAAGAGAAAAACAGCGTCCCTGAACTGTACTCAGGCCCTCTGGAAGAGAAGTGAGCACTCCTAGCTACTTTGCTGTCTCTCCAGCTGTATAACCAATTTCAAATAAGACAAAGTAGAGAAAGCTTAGGATTTTCTACAAATAAACAACCATGCTTCTTGGAGCAGTCACACGTAGTTGCCTGTAGTGCAGGACAACACGGGTCTGACCGTGGAGCAGATGAGCTGTATCTTGTCACTTCTTCCTATTTTCCAACATGGAAACCATTATACTATCCTCTCTCTTCTCCATGCACCTTCTCAGTGTCAGCAAAGAAACAAAAAAACTCAGCCTTTGACTTTGGAGAGTTTCAACAGTTTAGATTGAAGGTGACGGCTGAGTGATTCTGTGACTATCTCAAAAACCCAGGAACCATGCCTGAGCATGGGAGTTGTGGGGTATGCAGATCACATTTCATTAAAGTTGCTTTTTAGGAGCTATAAGGTTTAGGTTGGGCCATAGCCACAAGTTTAGAAGAGGAAACGAAGTACATAATACAACAAATACTCTCCCCTTCCAACAAGATGGGAACATGAAGCTCCAGGCACTAAAGGGGGAGCTGGAGAGTTTTCTCTCCGGTCCCGCCAAACCCGGCAGTCCAACAGCCCACTTATAAACACACAGACGCTTATATTATTTAAACTGTTTGGCCTAATGGCTCAAGCTTCTAGCTATCTAGTTCTTACATCTTAAATTAATCCATTTCTATAAATCTATACCTTGCCACATGGCTCGTGGCTTACCGGCATCTTCACATGCTGCTTGTCATCGTGGCGGCTGGCAGTGTCTCCCTCACTCAGCCTTCCACTTCCCAGAATTCTCCTCTCTCCTTGTCCCACCTATACTTCCTGCCTGGCCACTGGCCAATCAGTGTTTTATTTATTGACCAATCAGAGCAACACATTTGACATCAAGACCATCCCACAGCATAAAGGCTCTTCCGGTGATTCAGGGAAGTGACCCAAAGCAGCCTGGTGGCATCTACTGCAGCCCAGGTCTTAGCAGAATGCTTCCCAGGTAACCCAGAGGTTCTCAGAGGAGGCACAGAAGACCCCAGGACCAACAGGGACAAGGAGCTGACAGGAGCAATCCCGGGAATGGATGACAGAAGACTGCCAAGGACTCCTTACAGGCTCCAGCCTGGAAGCTACACCATGCCATGTTTCCTCTGCCACATCTTGGCGTTTCCTAAAAACAATCCTAAGGCAGATAAAGGAAGGTTTGTGTAAGTGTAAGTTTTCGCCCTGTGTCCAAATGTAGGATTAAATTCAAGTTTTGAAAAATGAGAAAATACTTACAATGATGGAGATGGAATCAAGGGAGGGAAATTTTATCTATAGAAGGGCTGTTTTAAAATCAGCACAGGAAATCATGACAGCCTGGTGTCTTGAATGGTACAAGCCGTTGTATTATACATAGTGTAATGTAGCAGACTGGTTTTTATAAAGGGTGGAGAGGGAGTTCCTGCCATCCACGCCTCTTGAGGCAGATCAACGGACATCCCACACTCAAAAGGGAGAGCCAAGAAATTAAGTGGACACTGACATTTTCTTTTAAGAAACACTGTGGTTTGAATTACTTGCTCAGTAAAGACCTCTCCCTCCCTGAAAGGTTACCCACCAATGACTTTAAGCACCTCATGGGTTGAAGTATTCCATTAAACCTTGAACAATGTGCTCAAACTGGCTTAGAGTCCAAGAGGGAAAGCGTATTATAATGCTCATTATCGACTTTTCCATGAGTCATACCAGAAACCACCTTGTACTGCAACCATGTGGATTCCACTCTGACTTCTCTACTAGCTTAAGAATTGCTGGTTGGGTGGCGATATGGTTCAGAGGGTGAAGGTTCCTGCCACCAAGGCTGACAACCTAAATTCCATCCCTGGAACCCACATTGTAGGAAGACAGGACAGACTCCTGTGGGTTGTCCCCTGACCTCCACACACAGGCTGTGGCATGGTCACGCGCGCGCACACACACACACACACACACACACACACACACACACACACACACACACACACACAGGCAGGTGTGCACATGTATGTGTAAATAAGTGTAAAAAAACTTAAATAACAAACTTTTTGTTGGGACAGAGTGTGCTAGTGCAGTCAATAAAGTGCTTGCTCTGTGACGTTGAGACCTGAATTCAATCCCCAGAACCCAATGAAAAAAAACATCCAGCATGGCAGCTGGATCCCTGGGGTTCCCTGACTGTCTAGCCTAGCCTATTTGATTTCCAGGCCAGTGAAAGAGCCTGTCTCAAAAATCAAGACGGGTGCTACCTAGGAATGACAGCTGTGGCTGTCCTCAGACTACACACACACACACACACACACACACACACACATACACACACACACACACACACACACACAGTTAGTTGTTGCTTTCTTATACATCCAAATGCAATGGTAGCAGGAACTATTCACCTTGGTTTGTACCATTATAAACAGTATCAATTCAGCTGTGATGACATGTCTTTACGCCCAGAATTTGGGTGGCAGAGGTGGACAACTCCCTGAGTTCAAGGCCAGCCTGATCTATGTAGTAAGTTCAACCAGCAGAGACTACATAGTGAGGTCCTGACATGAACAAATATAATAAAATCACATATCCATCCTCCCGTTGCCCCATGTTTCTCCTCTTCTTCATATACGAATTGCTCCAAAGAAAGCTTTGTGTACATTGCTCTCTGCCTCCTCAGGTTCTGTGGGTGCACTGGATTTTCTGCTTTGCTTATTTACATGAGATGTTCTACAAACATTTTAAACATAACAAATCTAAAAGGAAACCCTGGGTTTAACCCTTGGGGCTTGTTCCCACATCCTAGGCAAGTCTTCTTCACAGCAGACATCCATCAGCTTCCCAGTTGCTCAAGAGAGACATATAGATGTCATCCTGAGTTTTATACTTCCTTACACCTCCCATCTGTTCAACAGCATGTGTTATCAAAGCTATTTCTGAATAAATGTTATTTAGATATGTTGGGTTTCATTGTATCTCTTTGTCCACCTCCTTAGACAAGCCCCTCTTCATCTCATTTCATGGACTCTCTTCAGTTGAGTCCATCACTCCTGTTACCTGTTACCCTGTTCAAGCCATGTTTAGCCAGCAGTGATAATGGCCTTATCCAATTCTCACCCTCATCTGGTATCATTCCACTGCCCTGTCTTCTCATAGATCATTGAGGGTACTCCGAAGCCCTTGTGATTATTTCCAGGTCTCAGCTCATAGCATCTCTGGTCTGTGTCTGTCTGTATGGGTACCTGCAGTGTTCGCAGGGCATTGGAGACCAGAAGCGGGCATCAGATCCCTCAGAGCTGAAGCTACAGGTGGTTCTAAGTTGCCCAACATGGGTGCTAGGAGCCAAATTTGGGCCCTCAGAAGAGCAGCAAGCACCCCTAACTGTGAGCCATCTCTCCAGTGGTTTGATTTTTGTTTTTAATGAACCAAGTCCTCATCCTATGCCACAAAGGGCTTCAGGTAGCTCTCTCCTCTGTCAGAATCTCTTCATGCATTGGCCCTAAGGGCCAAATATCAACACCTCAGCAATTTCCTTTCTGATCTATTTAAAGGAGGGCTCTGTGTTATCTCTTTTAAGCCCTTTGGTGCAACACAGAGAAACCCTGTCTCAAAAGACAGCAACAAACAAACAAACAAAAATTTATATACAAGGTAAAACATGACCACTATGTGATATTCCTAGAAGTTATCACAAAGGGTACATAGAAACTATGTTAAATGCATACATACGTTTACATACATGTGTGTATATTATGTGTGTACATGTATATGTAGGTGGGACTGGGGAGATAACTCATGGGTTAATAGCACTTGCTGATCTTGCAGAAGACCCAAGTTGGTTCCCAGTACCCATGTTGGGTGGCTCACAACCACCTGTAACTCTAGCTGCAGAGGATCTGACACCCTCTTCCTGCATCAGAGGGTACCCATACACACATGACATATACTTACACAGACAGGCACACATATATGTAAATAAAAACACAACTAAGAACTAGCCATTGATAGTAAGTATCAGTCAAGATCATACCCTGTGCATTATATGTACATGTAAGGAAGAGAGAGAAAGTTCACCAGCTGCAGTTAGCTTCACTCATGCAAGACAGTGGCCATAGCCTCAATACTTCTCATGTCTAAACAATCCAGAGAACTCACATACAGCGACATCGCGTTCTCCACCTGTGAGATTGCACCAAGCACAATCCATGCTCTTAGTTTCTATCTTTCATGCAAAGAAAGCATGCAAAACTCTACCCTCCACACCAAGGGGAATAACTAGCCAGGAAGTGGCAATGGACTCCATGACAGTAGGAACTAAATATGTTTTTTGTTTGGGGACTTTATTTTGAGTATTTTTGTTTTGAATATTTTTATTTTGTTTTGTTTTGTTTTGTTTTTGTTTTGAAACAGTCTCATTTAGCCCAGGCTGGCATTGAGCTTGCTATACGATCCAAGATGACCCTAAGCCTCTGATCCTTCTGCCTCTACCTCCTGGATGCCTGTAAACAGACTTTTATAGAGACCATATTTTGAGTGTTTATTTGATTTTTCATGCAACTGGCTTTATTTAGAAATGGTTTACTTACTTCAAATGTGGAGTCAATGCTTGGTGGATTCATAGACATGCTTACATGCTATACAATAATAGATAGATGGCCATCTCCTGATGTAAATTTCCAGCCTGCCTCCCTTCTTCCCATGACACTCTTTTCTTTTGGGTACAAAATCTACTCTAAGTGACTTTCAGACAACTTCTCATTACCAGTAAAAAAGGGACAAGATGTGTTTCCCCAGCTACTGTGTGCTGTAAGTGTCCCAGCACTCAGCATCCCTGGGAAATCACCCACCCCAATTCTTACACTGTTTTTAGTCACTACACAATGATTGTTTTAAGTGTTTATTTGACTGGACCATAGTACCTAGATATTGGGTCAAACATCATCATAGAAGTTTCTATGAAGTGCTTTTATTTAACTCACTAGATCCTGAAGAAACCAATTCACCATCCATTATGTGAGCAGTTCATTTCAGTTCCATTGAGGGCATTGAGAGCAAGAGGATGGCACAGGAGGTCACTCAGTTGGTGAAGAGTTTGTTGTGCAAGCATGAGAACGTGGGTTTGATCCCTAGGCACCACATTAAAAAGCTGTGGCGTGGCATGCTCTTGTAATCTCAGTGCTGGGGAGGTGGAGACAGGCATGTGGATTCCCAGGGTTCGCTGTCCAGCCGTTATAACCAGAGTGATGAGTTCTAGGCCACTGAGCAGTCCTGCCTCAAAAGAGAAGGAAGATGTCAACTGAGGCAGCTGCTGAAGCAAGAAGGCAGAGGTTGACCTCTGGCCTCACAGACACACTAACACATACACCAGCACGCGCGCGTGCGCGCGGACACACACACACACACACACACACACACACACACACACACACACTACTGACCTCCCTCACATAAGAGGGAATTGTGCCAACAGGCTGTCTGCTGGTTTACATAGCATCATCTAGGTCTCCAGCCTGATACCCAACACTGCAGATTCAGGAATTATTAACTTGAGAGTGAACCTAGTTTTATTATTGATCTATTTTCAATAGAATTCCTAGTTTTAGGGGTGCCATGGAGGAACTAGAGAGGTGACTCAATGGTTGTGAGTACACCTCCACTCACAGCACATGCCCACACACAGACACACAGTTAAAAATAAACTAAACCTTGAATGGAAAGAGAGAGAGCAAGAGAGCATGGAGGGACCACTAACAAGACAGAGTTTTCTTTCTGTTGGAAACATTCACAGAGTGTAAGAGCAACTGCAATTCAGAGACATGGAGAACTTACTTCTCTGTATAACATTCATCTCTACAACCACAAAACTCACCCGGACACCTTCCCCAGCAGCTCAATTCACAGGATCGTCACTTCACTGCAGCTAACTGCAGGGAGATGCAAGCCCTCTCACAGACTGCAGGGAGATGCAAGCCCTCTCACAGACTGCATAGTGATGCAAGCCCTCTCACAGACTGCAGGGAGATGCAAGCCCTCTCACAGGCTGCAGGGAGATGCGAGCCCTCTCACAGACTGCAGGGAGATGCGAGCCCTCTCACAGACTGCAGGGAGATGCGAGCCCTCTCACAGACTGCATGGTGATGCAAGCCCTCTCACAGACTGCAGGGAGATGCGAGCCCTCTCACAGGCTGCAGGGAGATGCAGTCCTCCGCTCTCTGCTCCTCTGACCAGGCTGACCAACTGCCAAGGGTCAAGAACTCTTTGCTGAGCTTCCTCGTTTGTTTGTGGAATGGTTATTTCCCCGATACTCCGAACTCCTCCTGTAAGCAGGTGCCCCAGAAGAGCAAGCTATTGATCTGCCACTCACCCCAAGAAGGGCTGAGTGACATGCCTGAACCCAGGACTCTACTTTGTCACATGCTGAATGTTTAGAGATTGCCAGAAGTGTTTGGTTTGGGTGGCTCCATGAAAGATATTCTATAGCCACAAACATTCATAAAACACTCATGGAGGACTCTAAAGTCACAAAGGAAGGCCCTTGCACTATAACATAATCTTTGATGGCCCTGAAGAATGTGTTTACTCAAGCTCACAAAGTGGGCTGGGTTTGCTGGGTTTCAGCAACAGATTGGGGTTTCAAAGAAATACTGGCAATGTAGGTCATTGTTTTATTCTTTTTTTAACAGGCTTTGAAGCTTTGCTGAAATCTTATCAGTGTGTCAAGATTTAAAATCTCCCACCTGCACCTCGCTCTTCCTGGAACTCTTTTGAACAGCTGCTGCCTCCTCCTTAGTTGATTAAGCTCATACACACTCGGCTCTATGTATCAGAAACCTCTGCCAGCCATTTCTCTATCTTTACTGCCTATCTAGTAGGCAGATTCAAAGCAAACATGAATTCCTAGGGATCGATTATAAGATATATTATGTGATTAAATTGTGCTGGCTCACCTGCCATGCATTTGCACTCAGCCTCTCTCAGACCCTCCATTTTTCCAGCTGTAATCGTCCCAGAGGGAAGGCTTACTCACTGGGCTCTTTTTAAAAGGAGCGCAAATCTCAACACTGCGACCATTGAATGCCACAAATGTGATTGTAAAGAGAGCACAACAGAATGAAAATACCGTGCATTCCCATTTGTCAACAGGAGGCTTCTGTGTAATGTACCTTCTGCAGGCAGGTCCGTGTGCCTGTTCCTCTGTTTGGGGAATGAACACATCAAACCATCGCACATGAGAAGCTGTACAAAGGTCAAAAAGAGCCAAAAGTAAGTTCTTCAAACCCCCCAGTCTTCCAACACAGCAATCTGCCTTCCTGGTTCTTTGGACCACAACTTTGTCCCTAGTAGATGGTTTCTCTGTAAACCAACTGATCAACCCTAATTCCTATAAGGACAAGCAGCCCACATTCTCACATGACCTTGGAGTGCGCATTCATGGCTAACTTCCGGCACTCTTTGGAAGGAATGGACTTCTTCCTAAGGTCTCAGATTGCATTCTCTCCAAGCCTCAGACTGCTGGGTGTCAGCATAACACTACACCAACACCCAACAAAGCAGACCCAGTGAGAGGTAGACAGAACTCACAGCATGCCTCTGATCTAGCTCAACACTTACATACTTATATTTTCAAAAGAAAAAGCTCAAAGCAAGCAGGGAATGGAATTTACATCCCAGCCCACATGGTAATACTTCCCTTTCACCCTCCTGGAAAGCTGGGGAAAACTTTTTATCAAATAACACCCAAGAAGAACTTGCCATAGAAGTGTGATTTTCCCAGCTCAATGTCACAATTATTTAGCCTGCTGAGCATGATATATCTTTGAATTTTCTATAATCCCTACCCTCAATATAGTGTGGAATTCTATTAATTCTGTTTTCATAGGGATGAAGTCATCCAGGGTGGAAACTATGACCTAATTGAGAGCATTGAAACACTGCCGTGTCTCAGCCTGGGCTCTGGCACACAGGGAGTATGAATTAAAGTCTTCTGCAGGCATCATCTCTCCCTATGAAAAGCAGATATTGTGTTTCCTCTGCCTAACAGCATTCTCTGTCCACTGTGGAAAGAAGCCTGTTTGCTTTAAAACGTGTGGCACATTTTTCCACTCCTGGTATCAAGGAAGATGAAATCAAGCACTCACTGAGTGGAATTACCACTATCTATGTGAATCATCCCTCTACCACAAGAGGCCAAGGTTGAAATATGGACTCTACCTATGAGATGAGTGGCTCAATAATAAGATGCTGGGGCTGGCAGACTTTCCAGGGTGTCCACTTGTAGGCAACCCCGCACAGAGCCAGCTCAGACCCATCTTACTGCACTCGGAGGTGGCCCACATCCCAAGAGAGAGTCCTCCATGATGATAGGGCCTTATCCTGAAAGTATCTGCACACTTTATCAGTCATGCATCCACCTTCTCTTCCATGTCCGCCCACAGATTCTACTTGCTTTGTGATGTTCCTAATAATTGCTGGTGGCATGACACAGGCCACAGATTCCATGAGAGCACATGATGCAGACATCCAACTGTGAACCCTCCATCTGTGTCTAGCAGGTGGCAGGCACTGAACTGAACTTCTATCTTTGGAGAAAACTGCTACAAAGGTTTTCTATATTATCTGAGAATTTTATACACTCACATACTGTGTTTTGATCAAGTCCATCGCCCATTTAGGATAGTTTGCTGCTCTAGAGGCAGTGGAACTTGGGAGAATGGAACCTAAAAATGAGGTGGACTAAAGTCTCATGTAATGGCCAGCTTTACTCAGAGCATCAGACAACTTATACCCTGAGGGTTAAGAAAGGTCACCTGAGTGTTAAGAAAGTTCTCATGTGTTCAGGCTGTATATAATCACAAGGATGAGCTGCACGTGGCTAAAACATGTTCTTCCACAGAGGTTTGTAAACAAATAACAATAGCCAGGCGTAATGAATAATTTGAAGTAAACTCACTCTGGTGCAATACACGTGGGAGGGGCATGAAAGCACATTCCAAGAACAACTGACTCTTATTTTCTTGGAGTTTTCTCACAAGCTCAGAATTCCCCTCCCATGGCTCTATTCTTGAACTATGTTCTGACACAGGATGATTATCCAGGTTAGCCAACTTGCTTCCGCTCATTCTGTTTCCAGGAGTACCAAAGCATGGACGCACAGGTATAAGCTCTTAAAATAGCATTCTCCAACCAGTTCAGGCTCACCTAACCCACCCGCCTCCATTCTACCCCACTGTGATTCTCCGTTGAAGAAAGTTACAAGTGTGGAGTTAGACCAGATGTGTGCTGGGACTGTAGGACCCAGAGGCCACAGCAAGGGACTGTGGGATTAAAGGCCAGTGGAGATCTTGCCTCCAAAAACTAAACAAAGCAAGAGACAGGTTGGAGTCCTGGAAAATTCCCTAACTGTCCTGCCAGCCACCAGACTAGAGGCCGCCATCAGTTTGAGGATCAGCTTTTCTGGCATGTACAACTCTAAGAGCTTCTGCCTTGTGCAAATGTCTCCTTCTGAGGTCACTCAGATGGGGGCAGCCGGAGCGGGAGGCTGGAGAGCACTTACCTCATTTTGGAAAGTTTCACTGTATAACTTTTCACAGTGCCCACCAACCTTGGAGGACGTTCTTGAGTGTAAACCCCTAAGGCCTCTGTTCTCCAAATACTCACAAGCTGAAGCTGTCACACACTCACCCTTTGAAAACTCCTATTTTATAATTGGTATGTGTCGTCTCTGTGGGTGACAGGGTGACTTCTCCCAACCAATGACACACTGAGTTTCCCAGAAAAGTAAGCTCTTGAGTGAATTTCTGGTAAATTCAAACAAAATAGCTGATAAACTGAGGAAAAATGAAAAAAAAAAAAGTGGAGTCAAGAGACATGCTCTGGGACCCTGAATGCGGAGCTGACCTTTCAGTTCCTGGGCAGAATGGTTTATGCAGACTGGGCAGTTTTTAGCTGGCCTCCCACCCCTCGGTGCCTTCAAACTTTACAGTCCCAGGAGCACAGGATGGAGAGCAGATGTTCAGCCTGGGACAGGAGCGGCGCTGGGGAGCGGCTCTGTCTCACTTCAGCCCAAACCTATACTAAATGGCTCAGGGATTGGAGCTTCCTGCGGAGGGGTGGGGGGTTGGAGATGGGGGGCTGTGTTCCCCCAACCTTTTGTTCATATAATCACTGTAGTTGGAATTCCCGCCCCAGCCCCTGTCTTTAGGGGTCAGCTTAAGGATCATCTTCTCCAAGATGCTGTCCTTTTTCCTCCTCCATGTGGCCACTGAAGCCACCAAGGCCAAGACAGCAGGCATCCAGCCTCTAAAGTGTAAGCTGTTGGAGTTAGGGAGGTAGCTTGGTCAGTTAAACGCTTGCATATGAGGACCTGGGTGGGATCTGCCTTAGTTAAGGTTACCCAAAGTCAGCTGGGGAGGAAAGGGTTTATTTTGATTACCTTTCTACATCTCTGTTCATCATCAAAGGAAGTCAGGGCAGGAACTCAAACAGAACAGGAACCTGAAGGTAGGAACTGATGAAGAGGCCATGGAGGGGTGCTGCTTGCTGGCTTGCTCTCCATAGATTACTCAGCCTGCTCTCTTTTAGAACCCCAGGACCACCAGGCTAAGGATGGTACCACCCACAATGTGCTGGGCCCTCCCACATCAGTCACTAATTAAGAAAATGCCCTACAGGCTTGCCTACAGTCTGATTTTAGGGAGGCATTTTCTCAGTTGAAGTTCCCTTCTCTCAAATAACTCTAGCTCATGTCAAGTTGACACAAAAATTCCCCAGGACAGATTCCATACTCAGAACCCACATTTTTAAAAGCCAGGTAAAGGGGAACGTACTTGTAAATGAATACCTGGTACTCACTGGCTGGCCAGCCTAGTTTACTTGGCAAGCTCTGGGCCAGTGAGAAACTCTGTCTCCAAAAAAACAAAAGATGGAAAGCACCTGACGAATGACACCTGCGGCGTCCTCTGGCCTCTGCATCCACACAAGCTCAAGTGCACACACACCCTGGTTAATTACTAAGTGATTGATTTTAAAATGTAAGCTAAAATAGTAACAAGTGGAAGGTGGAAGATCCTGCTGTTTATGTCAGTGGAGGCCAGCCTAGGAAGAATCTCAAAGCAATGCTCATAGATGCAAAACACAGGTACCCAACCTGACAGTGTTTGCACGGAGTTACAATGATGAGACCAGGCAATCCACCAACATGGCTTTTCCTTGGTCTGACATCCTTCAGAAATGACCACAGTCATTTTTCACTAGATCCCTGGAAAGAAGGCTGCAGTACCAAAAAACTAAGTAAAACCCTCCTCCTTGTGACGTTGATGTAATACGTTTGGTGTGTGGTGAGATTTTGTGTGTGCCTGTTACATGTACACTTCAAAAAAAAAAAGAGCTTCACCTTTCAGAAGAAGGTGCTTGGTAACCATGGTGCTTCAGATGCAAAGGCCCACAGAGCAATGCCCACTGCCCTGTGAATAGGGCCTTTGTTCTCAGCACTGTTTTGGTAGGAAGTGGTTGCTATTTAGGTTTCCAAGAGGGAATATAAGTTACGCTCACCTAATCAGACAGACCAGTAAATACAGCAGTTAATCTGACAACTTCAAATTCCTGAGTTGCATTCTAAAACACAGTTTAACGTCAGCCATCCTTTAAAGCCTTCGAGCATCGGGAGCCTTGCCTGCTACGAGCTTTGCTGTCTTCTGTTTCATCTGATTAATTACTGCAACTGCCTGGTTCTAAATCTCAGTTCAATGTGAAGTTTCTTGGTGTCAGAAAAGGAGAGAGAAGGCCTTAGAAAGCACAGCATTAAACCTAAAAGTAAATAAATAAAACCTGCTACTGGGATGCATCAGGGAGGAAAGCCTGTAATGACCACATGAAAACAGACCATCAAGTGGGTTTGCTCAGCACCACAAGGGTGTCTGCCATGTTGACATCATTGTCCTGCCTCCAGCAGTGTCTTCCAGCTGAGCAACGCTGTGGCTGGGAATACAGAAGCGAACCTGTTTATCCAGGTTATGAACAGTCTTGCAATCCATTCTCCTTGAGAATCCACCCTCCATTGTAGGGACAAAAGTTCTGAAGCATGCAAAAAAACCAAATAACTAAATTTAGCTTGCTCTGAAATGCAACATAGAAGGACCCTTTAAAGGCGCCCCCCCCCCCCAAAAAAAATGTGTTCATTTAGTACCCGTGAACAAATACCCACTACTGGATTCTGTTTGCAAACAACTGCAAGACTCAATAAAAACTTTTGTCCTTGGAGTGTTTTTAGGGGTCAGGGTCCAATGTACACACAGCAAGTACTCGAGGCCTTATCTGAACTGTCCCTGCTCTTTTGAAGGGAAAAAAAAAGTAGTTTCTGGCTTTAAACGGAGTCATTGTCACTTCTGGCTGATGTTTATTTTACTGTCTCCTGGGCGGTGGGGAGCAATTCCCCTATAAAGCCTGATTGCAGCGCACTGGGACAGTCTGAATACGGTAATCAATGCCGGTTAAACTAGCAATAAATAAACCTTTATGGCACCAGGGTTCCTACCCTCCACGGAAATTATTGTTAATTTATTGAATCAATAATCTCAAAACAATAAATTACGTTGTCCTTTGTTTTACTAAGCCCTTCTCACAGTGTGTTAAAAAGCAAAGGCTTTGTAAATATCACAACACGCTAGAAAGAAGGTTTTGAAGCCATGTCTTTGTATGTGGTCCATTAAGAGGCTAGACTATAAATCTGAAAAGTCTACTGGGCAAGGGTGAGCTTGGACATGGGCAGTATGAACCTGAACATGGGCAAGGGCGGACTTGAGCATGGCAGGGGTGAGCTTAAACATGGCAGGGGTGAGCTTGGACACGGGCAGGGGTGGACATGGGCAAGGGTGAACATGGGCAGGGGTAGACACGGGCAGGTACTAACAAAACAGTAACAGCTACACTCCCTCCCTCCACTACTTAAAGTGGTGAGAAGGAGCTTGGATTCTCTCCCCATTAACTCTGTCACTGCTCAAGACAACTTGGTATTATGTCAGTTGTTTGAGAATTACTAAGTGTGTGAGAGACAGAGAGAGAAACAGAGACAGACACAGAAAGGGAGAGACGAAAAAGAGAGAGAGAGAGAGAGAGATGCTAGGCATTGTGCATGTACTTATGTGGCTGTGTGCATCTGTATGTGCAGGCACACACGCGTGTGTATGAACATATATGTGGAGGTCAGAGGTCAATGGCAAGTGTCTTCCTTGGTTGAACTTTTTACTTAATATTGTTATTGTGTGTGCACGATGTGTGCATGTGTGTGAGTTCTCTCCTTCCACCTGTATGTGGTTTCTGGGGAGCAAGCTCGGGTTGTTAGGCTATACCCAACAAGCCATCTGCACGTCCCAGCTGCCTTACTTTCTGAGACAGGGTCTCACCCTGAACCTGGAGCCCACTGGCTCCTCTAGATTGCCTGGATGGTGAGCTTCAAGGATCTGCCAGCCTCTGCGTCTCCAGCACTGGGATTGCAGACATGTGCGCCCTGTTTTGTACATGGGTGCTGGGGACCCAAACTCGGCTTATCATGCTTACAGGACAAACACTTTGCCAGCTGAGCCATCTCTCCAGTCCCCAAATTATTACTTATTGAGGGCATATTTATTAAAAATCGGGATGAGATGCTTTTAGCTGGTGGGCTGCACGTGACCAGCTAAAAGGCTTGTCCTCACTGTATTTCTCTGAGCTAGTCTCATTTTCAATCTGTTCTCCACCAAAACCCCTGGGGAAGATGAAACTCCCAGGCTTATTTTGGATGTTGAACCTGCTACTATCCTGACTTACTGATGGTAAGAAAGGGGAGTTAAAACAGTGTCTGGCTCCGTGGTTGAGGCTAAACAAAATGTAATGGCCTCCCTCTCTGGGGCCATCAGGCTGTTGCCTCTCCACCACGCACAAGTTTAACAGGTCATGAGAATTGTACCCTGGAAATCTTAAGCAGTTTTCTCATTATGTTTTTACCTTTCGTGACTATCAAAGTATCTTTTGGGTACCTATTCATCCTGTTACAAAATCGTACCCAAATGCGAGCTCCCCGGCTCTAAAAAATATATAACGGGGAAAAGCACGCATATGGGGTAATATCTGCAGATGAGACATTACTGTACAAGCGGCGTCCCAGAAGCCCCTAATATCCGAAGCTTTCTGTAGATTAAGCTGTTCTAACGGCCCTGCAGCTCCTATACGCAATTATCTGCTCGCTTACGGAGGCCCTTAAAGCCAACGTGAGGGATCTTCCAAGCCGAGATCTGCATACCTTAATTACGGAACCAATTTGGGACACTGTTTGTTCCAATGTTTTTTAAAGGCCTTCCCTAGATTATAAGAACACGTCTAATTCAGGATTGTTTTCTTGTGTGCTTGGAGACTCACAGACTTGAATGCAGACCGCTGCAATGGCTCCCCAGAGTGCCTGGTCACCAGCACGGTCTGCTGGGGGCTTGCGGGGTTTGTCAGAGACTGACCTAAAACCAGAAATATTAGTCCCCGGAGCTGAACTTGTGACAGGAGCGTGCCCTCTTTGAAACCCAGCTCTGATGATGGGACTGTAATGATTTAGCAGCAGGGAGCTGAAAATAATGATCTGTGGAATGCCCATCAATCTTGGACAGAGTTCCTTAAAGAGCTGCAGGTGGGTTCGTAAGACCACCTTGAGAATCCACGGGGCTCAACCGACATCCCTGGACCCAAGGAGGGAAAGGGGGCCCACCTGTGTAGATCGCCCGCTCCAGGTCACAAGTGACACAAAGATTACCAAGTCCCCCTGGGCTCCATCCTTGGCAGAGGCCTTAGTCTGATCCAATTGTAAAGCATTGTTCCAGGCAAGACGATATTGCTTTCCTGAGGAGGCCGTGGCTGAGCTAAGAATCCTACCGGGTCCTGGTTCATCCCTGCCGCGGTCTAGTGCCCTGGTAACCTGGCTGCAGACGAGTGAGAGCATAAGCCTGGCTGTCCTCTTTACCTGCACCTGCTACGTCAGGCCAATTAGCATTCTGGGAAGTCAGCAGTGTCTGGTTGTATTAAACGTAAAAGGATGGCTTCCGTGTACAGGGAGCCTTCCCAAGCACCACCACGAGAGATTTCCATAGGATTACACTTGATAGTCACATTGGTAAAGCACCCAGTCTCGACTTCAGGAGCAAAGGATGGAGATTCAGATTGGGTTAGGAACTTGCCTAAGGCCACAGGGTGACGGAGCCACAAAGTTGCAGACATCACAAACAGACCTCCCTAGTCCAGCACCCATCCTCCCGCCTGTGGAAAAGCGGACGGACTTCCCCTGAAGTTAGTTTGTCTCTTCCGTCTAGGTCTCAGTTAACTTCTTTTTCACCCATAGGGATTAATTAAAATCTTCTCCCATGGGTACTCAGCACTCTGACATTCTCAAAGGAAAAAGAGTCAAGCTGAGCATGGTGGCTGTATCAGCCAGGGCTCTTCAAAAGCAAAACCAATAGAAGAGTGCACAATCAAAGGGAATCTACTAACTTGCCTTACATGTTGTCTGGGTCCGACCATGGCTGTCCTCATACTGGTGAGGCTGAGAACCCAGCAAATATTCAGTCCACAAAAGAGGAGGCCTCAAGCATCCCAGTCTGATGCTAAAGGCCTGGAGGATTCCCAGGGAGCTGCTGATTTTCTGGCCGTGATAGAAACCAGAAGAAGCTGGGTTCCACTACCAGCAAAGGAATGTAGGAACCATGGAGGAGGCAGCAACAGAGTAAAGGAACTCACCAGGGAAACGCTGAAGAAATGAGGCAAAGAGCAAAGATTTGCTCCTCAACCTTTTTCCAGTTGCTACTTGAAGTTGCTGCCCACATTTAGGTTGGGTTTTCCCACTCTGAGTAACCTTTACAGGTTGTCCAGCATCTGCTCTCTTAGTTAATTAAGTATCCAGTCAAGCAGATAGCCAAGAATAATAGTCACAGTGGCTTATGCCTCTTATCCCAGCTCTGGGGAGGCTGAGGCAGGAGAATTGCCATGAGTTCAAGGCTAGCCTGAGCTACATAGCATGTACCAAATTAGAGCTATAAAGCAAGAACAAGTACATGAATAAAATCAGTATCTACTATGCAAGTCCTACATGTCTGTGGATTCATTCATATAAGGGAAGGCAAATTCTGACTTCACATCTGCTTGTTCATATTGAACAAATATTAACTTCTTACATCATAAGTCTCTCAGTGTGTACACAATTACCCTTAATGCCCCTTAGAATGAACTCTCTTCTATGATAGGTAGGAGACTCATGTAACCTTTAAAAAGGAGAGGGAAGGGGCTGGAGAGATGGTTCAGCCATTGAGAGCACTTTTTGCTCTTCCAGAGGACCTGAATTGGGTTCCCAGCACCCACATCAGGTGGCCCACAGCTGCCAGTAACTTCAGCTCCTCATGCACACAAACCCCATACACAGAGACACATAGTTAAAATTAAAAATAAATCTTAAGGACATATACATGAGAGGTGAGGTTGTTAGTATGGATAGATATGTAAAGACTGAGATGGAAGCCAGAGCAGAGATGGAGTTATGTGGTGACTCCATGCTGTAGAATCCGGAGTCCAGCATTCAGACTCCCCCTCAGGACTGAGGCTCCTGCTCCCCACATTCCACTGAGCTTTGGTTGCCACTGCATATTGATAGAGACTGTGGTGGTTTGAATAGGAATGCCCCCCATAGACATGTTTGATGCCTGGTCCATAGGGAGTGGCACTATTAGGAGGTGTGGCCTTGTTAGAAGAGGTATGGGCCTTGTTGGAAGAAGTGTGTCACTGTGGAGGTGGGTTTTGAGGTCTCATATGCTCCAGCTTCACCCAGTGTGGTAGACAATTCACTTCCTGCTTCCTTTGGATCAAGACGTAGAACTCTCAGCTCCTTCTCCAGCACTGTGTCTGCCTGCACAACTCCATGTCCTGCTATGATGACAATGACTAAGCCTCTGAAACAGTAAGCCAGCTCCAATTCAAGGCTTTCTTTTATAAGAACTGCCATAGTTATGGTGTCTCTTCACAGCAATGGAAACCCTAGCTAAGACAGAGACCTTCTCCATGAGTCACTATGAGCCAAAGTAACTGCCTCTGCCTAGGTTTACACACCTCAGGAAGCAGTCCATCGGTGCCCCTTGTCTCACTTGGGTATGACATTGACAGGCCATCCTACTGGAGAACTTTCATTGGAACCCCTCCTCCCCTTCTTGTGGCTCACACTGAAGAGAAGTGCCTGTTGTGTGAGATGTTTCCTGGGGAGATGTGAACAGACATCTACTCACCTCAGAGAAGACACCACAATAAACAAAGGAGACAACTCTACTCAAGTCCAATTTAGCAAAGCAAGTTTGTTGGGATTGCTTAGAGAGTACAGGTGAGGTGTGGGTGAGGGGTCACTCACAGGTGAGTGTCACAGGAGTGTGGTGAGGGGTTGCTCACAGGAGTGTGTCACAGGAGTGTGGTGAGGGGTTACTCACAGGTGAGTGTCACAGGAGTGTGGTGAGGGGTTGCTCACCGGTGAGTGTCACAGGAGTGTGGTGAGGGGTTGCTCACAGGTGAGTGTCACAGGAGTGTGGTGAGGGGTTGCTCACAGGAGTGTGAAAGACTTGCAGGCAACTGCATCACTGGAAAGCCCACCCCAGCCTGGGTGGTGACCCATGAAAGCTGTAGCCTGGAGCCCTATGCTTGACTTACAGGCAGCTCAACAGGTCAGTCTTCCCTCCTTAGTCCTTGGTGGGTTTAAAGACATCTGAGATAGATCTGGGGCTGGAGAGGTGGCTCAGCAGTTAAGAGCAGCAGCTACTCTTGCAGAGGACCTGGGTTTGATCCCAGCACCCACATGGTGGCTCACAACTGCCTGTAACTCCAGTCCCAGGGGATCCCACACTCTCTTCTTGTAAGAGGGCCTCGGAGTTGGCACAGAACACACCCAGACACCAAAATTCTCACCCAGAGGGACAAGCCGGGGGGTGGGGGGATGCCAGCAAAGGTAGAGAGCAGGTGTTTTTGCAGGAGTAGGTTTTTATAAAGAAAAAAAAGGGAAGTCTTTGTTAGAATGAGCTGGTAAGTCCTGATTGGACCTATTAGCTGGTATAGGTAATATATGAATTTTGCTGCTGGACCTTGTTGTTTTGATAGTTGGACCTTGGAGTTTTAGTCAGCCATAAGGGAGTAGACCTTGGGGGCTAGCTTTAGAAACGTAATCTAATGGTTTAGCAAGGGAGAGGGAAGGGAGAAGGGCAAGGCCTACCTGGGCCATGTTTGTTATGCTTGGGCCTATTAGCCCTTCAATTCTGACCCAAAGGCACTGAACACACATGAAGAAGATACATACAGACAAAACACCCATACACACAAAATAGTATTTAGAAATAGATAAGCATATCATCTTAGTGGATCTTGACTCAAACCAACTATAAAAAATTTTTGTGTAAAACAATTGGACAAATTCATTTTATTGATATGATGTAGCACATTCATTGATTTGAATCTAATAAACCACCAGTGAACCCCTGGGGTGAATCTTATTATGTGAAGAATTTGTTAATGTGCTATTGGGTTTGATTTTCTGGTGTTTTGTTGGAGATTTTAATGTCAACTTCCAGCAAGTACACTGACCTATAGTTTTCTATTTATGCTGTGTTCTTAATCTTGTTTTGGCATGAAGGTGATAGTGGCCATCTAGTTGTTTGGAAGAATTTCATCCTCTTTTATTGTTCATATTAACATAAGGAGAATTGGTATTAGCTGTTCTTATGGTCTTAGGTAGAATTCAACATTGACGCCACCTGGTCCTATGTGATACATTGTGATAAAATTTGCCTGAAGATCAGAGAACAGAACAAGCCACTAGATTAAACACAGAAGCCAGGCAGTGGTGGCACACACCTCTAATCCTAGCACTTGGGAGACAGAGATCTGTCTCTCTGTGAGTTCAAAGCCACCCTGGACTACATGAGATTGATTCAGTCTAGGAGAGAAACTGAGCCAGGCAGTGGTGGCACACACCTTTAATCCCAGTACTGGGAAGAACACATGCCTTTAATCCCAGGAAGTGATGGCTGGGTGGAGAAAGGTATATAAGCGTGAGGAGACAGGAACTAAAGGCTTTTCAACTGAGGAGACCCTTTTGGCTAGAGGCCTTTCTGTTAGGCTATTTCAGCTGAAGCCTTTCGGCTGAGAACGAAGAGACATTCAAACAGACGATTCGTGGAATTGGCGAGGTGAGACGTGCCATTGACTTGTTCCTTTGTCTCTCTGATCTTTTAGCATTTACCCTAATTGGCTCCAGATTTTTATTAAAAGACCATTTAGAAATTCGTGTTACATGGTCCTAAACTTTCTTTGATGGGAAATTTTTTGTTACTTTTTCAATTTTATAACCCACAGTTCTGTTAGAGTTTTCTAAATCTTCATGATTCCTTCTTGGTAAGGTGTAATAAGTTTTCCATTTCTTCTGATTATGAAACTTGTGTGCAGATATTTCTAGAAATCACTAACAGCCTTGTGGGTTTCTGTAGTGTGTGGTAAAACCTCCACTCACTTCTATTTCTATTTGAGTGATGTTTCTCTCTCTTCAGTTACACTAGTTAAAGAGTGTCTATTTTTGTTTCTGTTTTCTATTTTGTTTTCCTTACCTTTCTGAAGAACCAACTCTTTGTCTCTATGATGTTCTGCACTGTGGTCCCCGTTTGACTGCTTTATGTGATTTTCTTTATTTTTATCCATCTATAATTTTTGAATTCAGTTTGTTCTACTGGCAGTTTCGTTGCTTCAAATCTATTTTTATACACAGCCATTGATTTATAGAAACTTCTTTTTTAGCACTGCCTTAGCTATATCCTATACACATTAGTATGTTGAGTATTTTCAAGAAAATGCTGATTCTTTTCTTATTTCTTCCTAGATGCACTGAGTGTCAAAAATCAGTGGTTTTCTTACAATGTTTTCCTCATTGTTGACTTCTAGCTCAGTTGCATTCTAAGTGAAAAAGATACTTGACCTGGTTTCGGTTTTTTAAAGTTTTGTCAGGCTTGTTTTGTGCCCTGTAGAGAATGTATCCTGTACAGTGTTCTCTGTAACGATGTGGAGAATGTGTATTAGACAACTATTGAATGGAATGTTCTGTAGATGTGTTGGGTTTATTTTATGCAAGATGAAATCTCACTGTCTTGCTTCTTTGTGGCCTTTCTGTTTGGATAATCTGTCACTGCTAAAAGTGTGTGTTAAGATCCTCAGCTGTTCTAGTAGTGGAGTGTAGCTATCTCTTTGGATCTATTATTACGTTGCTTTATACATATATAGCTCCCCAAATACTGGGTTCATATATGTTTAGAATTGACAAATTGATGAGTTTGTTATTATATAACAACCTCTTTTACCCATTTTTACTCTTTATATATAAGGTCTATTTTATTGATATTAATATGGATAATCATGCTTTCTCTACATTCATGTTATGTATGTCTTTAGAGGTCCAGTAAGTTTTTGTAACATATAGTTGGGTGTTATTGTTTATCAACTCAGTCATTCTGTGTCTTCAAATAGAAGAATTTGATCCACTTATGTTTAAGGTAATTATTGACAATAAAGATTTTATAATCAACCTTATATAACTTGGTTTTCTAATGATATTTCTCTCATTCTCTTGCAGTTTTCCTTAGTGGATATTTATACTCTACACACCTTTCCATGCTGCCTCCTTATCCATTAATGTCTCTCCTTTTTAGTTCAAGATCTTCTTTAGCCTTGCTGGTCAAGCAGACCAAATAGAGGCACACTCTTTCAGCTTTCATTTTTCTGGGAACATCTCTCTCTCATTTCTAAGGGATTGTTTTTCTGAATACAATACTCTTGGCTGATTTTTGCAGTTCTTTTTACTAGAAAAAAAATCTGGTGCCTCTCTCTCCTGGCCCATGAAATTTCCCCCGAAGGGTGTGGTCATGTGAATTGGGTCGCCTGAATGCTGTTTCTTTTCTGTTGAAACCCTGAAACCTTTCTCTTTATCTTTCACCCATTAAAGCTTGATTATGTCTTAGGACAGACTTAACTGAATTAAATCTGGATGTAGATCTTTGACCTGGATATTTGTAACCCTGTTTTTGGGTATCGTTTCTTTGGAAATGCTTTCTGACCCTTGTGCATCTTCAAGTCAATCTTGAACCCCAATAACCTCAATATTTGCTCCTTTAACAGTGCTCCCCCATTCCCATAAGCTTCCTTCACACCTTTCCAGTTTTCCCTCCACTTGCGTACTTTCAAAGTCTGCACTGGTTCTTTCTCATGTTCGATTTCTCTTGACTCACAAACCAGCAATGACATCCTGAAATTCACTGAAAGAATTTTTCAGCTCAAGGATTTCTGACCCGTTTGTTTGTTTGTTTGTTTTGCTTTTGTGTCTTTGTTAACTTTTTCTGTTAGATTCATGAAACATTTCTCCAAGCATTCTCCAAGCTAATTGGGTTCCCTTAAAACAGCTGTTTTATACTCTCAAGGTGTCTCTCAACTGATTGGCAGCTACTCAGTGTCTGGGACCTCACTGTGAGTCCTAAGTGAGATCAAGGTTTCCCAAAAGCTCCAGGCACTTTGGTGTATGGCAGGTCTAGGCACTGAAAGATCACATATTCATTCCAATGTTCTGTGCTGGTTAAACTCTAAGAAAATCTCCTCGTTTTCTCTGAGCCTGCATCTTCCTCCTTCACCACCAAATGCATCTGTGTCTGACTCTGTCCGGAGCCTGTCATGGTATGTTGTTACTATTTTGGTACTAGAAGCCACCCCAAGACCAGATTTATCCATGATACACTGCTGGCTGGTAATTTAACATAAGCTAGAGTCATTTGTGACAAGAATAATGTCAATTATGTAACTGCTTTCATCAGATTGGCCCGTAGGCAAATCTGTGGAGCATTTTCTTGATTAATGACTGATGTGAGAGGGTCCAGCACACTGTGAGTGATGACCTTCCCTGGGCAGGTAGTTGTGGGTAGTATAAGAAAACAGGTTGAGCCAGTAAATAGCACTCCTCCAAGATCTCTGTTTCAGTTTCTGCCTCTGGGATCCTGCCTCTGGGTTCCTGCCCATGGGTTCCTGCATGGCTTCTTTTAATGAGGGACTGTCGTGGTTTGAAAGAGAATAGTCCCCGTATTTGCATGCCTAGTCTCCAGTTGATGAAATGTTTGGGAAGGATTAGGAGGTGTGGCCTTGTTGGAGGAGGTGTGTCACTGAGGGTGGGCTTTGAGGTTTCAAAGTCCCACACCAGGCTCAGTTTCTTTCTCTCTGCCTGCTGCCTATGGATCAGGATGTAAAGCTCTCAGCTTCTGCTCCAACATCATGTCTGTCTGCTTCTCACCATGATGATCATGGACTACCCCTCTAAAACTGTGGGCAAGCCCCCAATTTAATGCTTTCTTTTATAAGAATTGCCATGGTCGTGGTGTCTCTTCACAATAGAACAGTGGCTAAGACCTGTACTGTAACCTATAAGCCAAGTAGACCCTTTGTTCCACAGGTTTCTTTATCACAGCAATAGGAAGCAAACTGGAATGCTGATATATTTAAAGAACCCTTTTGAAGTATTCTTCACAGAGAGGGAGGGGGCAACCTGTAAGAATAGTCTATCCTCATAAAACTTCAGCTGGAGCCCAGGCAGGCTTCATGCCTCATTCTGCCCTTGATTAGACAATGAGGATTCTTTCTGGTTCTGTGCAGATTTCACTTAATATGAACCAGCCTTGGCCTCCCATGCCATCCCCATGTGGAATGAGATTTTTTTTGTCTCCTACCAGTCAGCTCCCAAATAATGGCCCAGAGACTTATTATTAATTATGAACACTTGACCTTTAGCTTAGACTTGTCTCTACTAGCTCTTATAACTTAACCCATAGTTTTTAATCTGTGTTCTGCCACATGGCATTACCTCTCTTCCATCTAGCACCTCCTGTCTCCTCTCCATGATTGGCTGGTGACTCTGGCTTTCTTCTTCCCAGTGTCCTCTCTGCCTCTGGAAGTCTCACTTAACCTCTTCCTGCCTAGCTATTGGCCATTCAGATCTTTATTACATGAATCACAGCAATACACCATCACACAGTGTAAAATTATCACATAACATTTCCTCCTTTTTGTCTAAATAAAAAGGAAAGGTTTTAACTCTAACACAGTAAAACCGTATACAATAAGAACAATTATCAGGTAAGAATTACATTCACAATGTCCAGTCCATTTGTGTTTGGCAAATTTGAGGACAGTACTAAATTATCTATCCTATCTTAGTGAATCCAAGTTTTTGTACCTAATTTCCTCTCTACCCTAACTTGTATTACCATACTAAAAATATCTTTTTAGACCTTAAAACATCTTCTTAGATAAACAATTTAAGCTTTCATGTTTCTCAACCTTATAAATTTTGCATCTCTTATTCAGTTTCTTTTCTGAATTTGGTAACAAGGAAAACTATAACTATAACTATAACTATCTCTTCTTCAACTCTATCAGAGATCTGAGAAGGATATAATATTACCTGAATAAATAGGAATGCAGAACAAATAATTTCCAAAACTAGAGAAACACAGAGACATCTAGCTGCATGGACAGTCACCCAAGGTTCCTCTGTGACATTGGGGCATCTATCCTCAGCCTACAGGCCTGGATATCTGACAGACTTTTCTGTGAAGCAGGAATTTTGAAGAACTGGTCTACCTTGTCTTGGTAAAGTTCAGCAGTCACTTTTTTGTGTCCTGCTTATCCAGTTTTGACAGCATATTGTCAACAGTCAAGGCAAGGGCAGTTTCTTGCCCAAATGGCTAGCTTTGCCACATTGAAAGCACATTCCATATGGAAGTTCATCTATGCCCATCATCCTTTTTTGAAGTAATTGGTGTTTCCAGGATCAGACATATCTCACTGTCATGAAAAGCCTTATGTTATTAAAACATTTTAAATGCCATATTCTGTAGGTCTCTGAAGTGTTTGAAGACTATCTATTGATTTAAAATATATCTCTGTTTGACCTTGAAAACAAAGCTTACATAACTATAAGTTTGATAGTTATAGATGACTAACTACTAACCTGCATTTTTTTTTACTATCCTAAATAGCTTTCAAGGACTAAAACCTCACATTACATTTTTGAATGAGCTGTATAGGCACAATACCTTAAACAAGAGGAGAAATATATATATATATATATATATATATATATATATATATATATATATATATATATACACAAAAACAACCTTAAGTTTGTATCAATATACAAAAATCCATATCAATGCAAGTATTTGTTCAAAAGTAGACTCAAAAATCTACCCTTTTATCCCATCTTTCCTATATTATATCCCCCCTTTTTTTCCTTCAGGAAGAGATCCCTGAATTCAATCTCCTTTGTTTAGCTTTTTTCTGACCATGACAAGTAACAACTTGTAACCAACCTCCCTAAATGATGACAAACATCCATAACCCACAGAATGATGAAAACCACCCACCCCACCTCTTGGTACTGTGGTTGTTGTGTTCTCTAGATTGCTTCCTGTTGTCTGGGAGCAATGGAATATTTAAGGAGGTGACCCTGAGAAAATTGGGATAATGATAAAGTCCTGGGAGATCTAGTTGTATTATTTTTGTTCATTCTCTGTGTAGAGCTTATCTGAGGTCTTGGCTGCATAATCTGTGAGGGTAGACCATCTCAGCTAGCAGCTTTGAAATTGTTCTGGATGCAGAATTTTGAGGAAACTGTAACCAAGGCATGCTGAGAGGCTGGATCACCTAGGCCACCTGTTTTCATTGGTGTCTGGTCCTTTTTTCCTGAAAACACACAAACTTTTAAAGGTAACATATGTGTCTGCATTAACACAAGTGTGGAATATGGTGTGCATAAGTCAGTTAAAGATTATTTTTTGTTCTATGTTTGAGAAGGTAAAAGGCATCTATTAATTTTATGAGTTTTTTGGACTATATAAACAAACCTCTATCTGTGCCATATAGGATAAAATGTAATAAAAAGTCATGAAGTAATTTATCCTGACTCATCCAGTCTCAGAGTTGTTCCCATGTTGAGGGATCAGGATATATATCACCTGTCCTGTAGTCTTTCCTGGCTTTTTCCCTCATGTCTGTAGCTAAGATCCTCAGGCAGTCTCCCCTGGTCAAATTTGATCTTTATTAATTTTGAAGAGAACTATAACTTTTTGTTTCCTGTGGAAACAAAGTTAAAACCTCTCCCTCAATGCAACATATTTTCTAATTTCCATTCTGAAGTTAAAACATTCTTAAAATATACAGGTTGGTTTAATGTAGTAGTTTCCATAATCCAGTGTTTCTCAGCAGCTATTGATTTTTATTCATTAGCATTTAAAAAATTCAAAGTCAACAAAGCAACTTACAGGATACTGATACCTTGTGTATTTCCCATCCTTACGTGGCTTATTCTTTTTATATTACTTTATTTTTTATTTAAAGAATTTATTGCCTTTAAGCTTTTTTCTATGACTGTCTATACCCATTTTCTTCTTTTTTTTTATTTTCATTCAGCACCTAAGCCTATTCAAACATGTTATATCTGTTTAGAAGTTTTTTCAGTCTGGACCAGACCTTACTAAGTACCTGCAGTGTTTGCTGACCACGTGAGACAAATCTTAAACTGTTTGGCTAGGCCCTCTGCCAAGTGGCTTTCACTTAGAGCACTGGTGACTGAATCTGACCCCTTTGGGTCCACCTAACTGTCCCAGCTCTGGGAAACTGCTGTGTCCCTGTGCTGCAGCAGGGGTTGCATCAGTTGCTCATAGCAGGGCCTCTTAAGCAAGGTAGGTCTCTGTACATTGTGAGTAGTTGCCTCTGTATATATTACACATGTTGGATGCCAAATGTAGCAAGTCTTTTTCTCTCCCACTAGCCAGCTTCCAAATAATGACCCAGAAACTTTTTATTAATTATGAAAACTTGACCTTTAGCTTAGGCTTGTCTCAACTAGCTCTTATAACTTAAATTAACCCATTTTTTAAAATCTGTGTTCTGCCACATGGTATTACCTCTCTTCCATCTTGCATCTCCTGTCTCCTCTCCGTGTCTGGCTAGAGACTCTGCCTTTCTTCTTACCAGAGTCCTCTCAGTCTCCAGAAGTCTCACTAACCTTTTCCTACCTATCTATTGGATATTCATCTCTTTATTACACCAATCACAGCAGTACACCTTCACAGAGTGTACAGATATCCCACAACACCTGTGCACATCAGTTGACATCAAGTTGTGTCACAGCCTGAGCTGACAACCCACTAGAGCCAGTACAACATGGGCCTGAGACCATGGCCCACATGACTATTGTCTACCTACAGCTTCAGTGGACCTGTGACTGACTCTACCCAGTGACAATTGATACCTCATTAGGACAAAAGTTGACAGACTGTGGCCGTGTGTCAGTACCAGAGCCACATCTATAGGAAGACCTAGTAATGGGGGGGAGGGGCATTACAGTTTCCCTGCTGTTAGCTTTTGCCAATCCAACACTAATTCCATGGACAATCAGATACTTACTTTTCTGTCCTAACCCTGGTTATGTCCCTTATACACTGCCTGAGGTTAGAGTTGTGATGGCACAGGCTGTCCCTTGGCCACACAGGTGGTTGCTAAGTAGATTATGCCAAAGTCTCCCAGTTCCAAGAACCTACATGGTCTTAGGAATGCACTTCAGTCCCACATAGCTGGTGATGATGTGGTCCAAGGCATCTGTCCCTCTGGAGCTCAGGTGGCTTCCTGAGATAGGGAAAATGTTAAAGTCCCAACTGTGAGCCCTGGCTTGACAGTCATGCTGCCCAAGGTAGAGAGATGGATGGCTGGAAACAGTCCTTTGGCTGCCAACACTGTTAAAATGGGTCACACCTGAGTCTCACAAAGGCCTACATGGTCTCGGATGGAGGAAGGCTGTGACCCAGACCCATTTCAAGGCTGGCATTGATATGGTCAGAAATTGGGTCTGTCTCCTAGTGCACAGGTCTTTGTCAGATGCCGTGTGGTCTAAAGGCTCTCTGTGAGCTTCTATCTGCATGTGGGGTGTTCAGTTTCTAGGGAGTGCCTGGTCTCACCTCAGCAGGCCTGTTACTAGGTCCCCAGACTGTCCTGTGTTGGCTTTTGTGCTCTGATCCTCAGCAAATGGAGTCTTGCTTCTCCTCTGCCACCTGAGGGAGAAGAAGGTGGATGCTGGCAGCTGCCCTGTGCAATGCAATTACACTCTCAATCTCTGGGGTTTAGCCAAAGATTGGGGTCCTAGGACTCTGCCCAGTATTTATTATGCTATGACAGGTCCACCACTACAGGTTTAGTTTTTTAAGATTTTTTTTTAATTCATTTGCATGTGTGTGAATCTACCTTGGATTACATGCACCACATGTTTATGGGTGCCTACGGGGTGCTGGATCCCTTGATGTGTGCTGCCATGTGGGTGCTGGGAACTGAAGCCACATCCTCTGCAGGAGCACTAAGTACTCTGAATCAAGTGTCTCCAGCCCCTGCTATGGTTTAATTGTAAGACAGGAGCTAGTATGAAGTGGGAGGTGTCCTTCTCCCTGGAGTGTATTGAGAGATAATAGTCCTCTTCGGCTTCTTCAGTGAATTTTCATTTTGTTTCACTAAACTGGGCACTGACTCTCTCACCTGATTGAGCACTAGTGATGGGTCATTGGGTGCACGAACACCTGTTGGCCTTGGACTGTCTCTGGGGAAATGACAGTTAGAGGACCCTACTCAGCTGCCCTCTCTTCCTCTCTGACCTCTCACCTTTCAACTGAAATAAACACCTATGCCCAAAGTGTTGCCTAAGGCTCTGCTTTGGGCTTTAGATGAAGCATCCCATTAGAGTGTGGACATTAGAGGAGCAAATGTGAACTGGAGTATGAACAGGGTGAGTACACACAAAGAATCCAGTTGACTGTAATGCACTGGAGTCTCAATAGATATGTGGTGGACTTAAAAGCACACTTGTCATGCATTGAGAATTGAAAGATGCCAAGAACTTTCTTTCTCGTGGTATAAATTGTCCCCAGGTTTCTAAGCCCCATGTCTTTCCTTTTACTGGTCCAGAATAAAAAACCGAAGAATAATTTTATCTTAACAACCAACGCTTCCCACTCCCATGACCAAGAAGTGAAGGCTACTGCCAGGGTTTACAAGCAGCAGAACAGCAGGTGCAGCTTGGGGAAAGTTTGCCCAGTTCAGCTGGTTCCCTCACTTAGAGACTCAGCAGGGTGTATGCTGCCAGAAGAGTCAGCTGACTTCTCAGGCAAAGGCAAGGGCAGGCTGATTTGGCTGGCCACCTGGATATCTGTGGCTCTATGAGATGTCATTAACATGAAGCTAATTTCTTGGCAAAGAACCTTCTGACCACATAGACTTGAATTTTAAAGTCGATATGCACAGCATGCCTCTGTCCTGCTCTGAAGAAGCCCAGGGGTCTCTGTTTAACAACCGCCCTAAGGATTAGAAAAGTGTGTTGTGGGACTGGCAATGTCACTCAGTTGGTAGTGTGCTTGTCTGGTACAAACGAAAGCCTGAGTTCAGGCTCCACACTGCATAAACCAGGCATGGTGTAGGCGCCCTGTAATCCCAGTACTTGACAGGTAGAGACCAGGAGCTCAGAAGTTCGAATCCAAGTTCATCCTCAGCTACATAGTAAGCCCAAGCCTTGTCTGTCCAAAAAAAAAAAAAAAAAAAGGTGTGTTGTAGACAAATCTACCTATTTTAATATTCTTTCCTATGCTGGTCATGTGCCCTGGGGAAAGATGAGTTTCTGTTCAGTTTGCTCACTGTGATCACTGTGTCCACAGTGGAACTCAAGAAAGGAGGCGAAGCTATGTCTAGCTGTTAACATTCCGTCACGGAAGTGGGGAGGCAGCTCACTTGCTGCAGGACAGAGAGTCTATTCCTCAGTGGTGTGGGCCCTGGCAAGTTGTTCTTGCTCAAGTAAACAAGCCCTGGTCACCCTCATGTAGGCACCTTGATTAAATACAGTGGGCCACCGTCAACCAAAGACATGAAATAGAGGGGAGTTAGTGGGAAGAAATATCATAGGAGGGAGGAGCAAGGGGGAAAGAGAGGATGGCGGGGGTGATGATCAAAGTACTGTGTGTGTGTGTGTGCACACGTGTGCCTGTGTGTGTGTGTGTGTGTGTGTGTGTGTGTGTGTGTGTGTGTGTGTGATTATGAAAGGATAAACAATTTTAGTGGGTTAAAAAAGAAAAATCAAAGAATAAAATATAATGGAAGAAAAGAAAGAAGGTAGGGAAAGGAGAGAGGGAGGGGGAAGGAAAAGGAAGGGGAAGGAAAGGGGAAGGGAGGAAGGGGGAGGGAGGGAGGGGGAGGGGGAGGGGGGAAGGAGGAAGTTGGTTTCTGGTTTTTAACTCCTCTTTCCAATTGACAGATGAAGTATATGTATTTACCACAGACAACATAACGTTTGGAAGTGCATGGACACAGTGACGAGATTAAGCCAGCGTCACCTCACACGGTTTTCATTTTTATGGTGGGAACTACAGTCACCATATTGTATAAGTCTTTTCAACTCCTCTGTTTAGCTTTTATCATGGGATGGAAAATCATCCCACACCTCTGAGCTAGATTCCAAACTGCCATCCTCCTGTGAGTTTGCAGTAGCCTGCGTTGGTAAATGAAGGCTGCCTCCAAGTTACAGGAGACAGACATGAACGCTAACAGGCGTGAGGATGTAGAGTGTTCCCACCCTACAGAAGTCGAAGAACAGCTGTACTGTTTAGACAAAGTTCCCACACTCATCTGCACTGGCGCAGATTTTGTTTTGTTTGGAGATGGACGATGAGGAAGTCACAGTTTACAGTGCATTTTCTTTAAAGATTTACTATTATCACTTTTATGCCTTATATGGCCTGCCCTGCCCACGTCCTCTGACCATGGAGGACTCTGGTGAATTAGAGACGTTCACTTAGGCTGGGGTCACACAACCAGCTAAAGGAACAGGGACAGTTTATGAGCACATGGCACATGCTCTGTGACTCGTGGTGAACCAGGGCTGGAGGGTTTGATCACTCCCCTGGACCCAAATACTGTGATGTCATGACAAGAAAAAAAAACATGACATTATAGGCCTACTCACTCACACGTTTCTTCCAGCTGTCCCTGGATTTCCTGGAAGGGAAGTAGGAACATGGGAAATGTGACTGCATCCCACCTTGTTTTACAGTCTACTGTTTTTAGCTAATCATAAAACACAAACATTATTTGTATCAATGCAGAACCAGATGATATTTTGAAATGTATGTACCTCGTGTCCTAATCTCATCTCTGTTGTGTGACAAATGCCCTGAGAAAAGCAATGTGAGGGAGGAAGGGCTTATTGGGTTTATAATTCTGGGTTACAATCCACCACATTTCAGAAAGAAGTCAGGGCAGGCTCACAAGCAGCCAGTCACATCCCACCCACAGTCAAGAGGAGCCAGAGACGAATGCACCCACACTGCCTGTTGAGTGTCACTTGGCTTTCTCCTGTCCTGTATAGTTCAAGACCCCTTCGTGGTCCAGGAAATGGAGCTGTGCACAGTAGCCTGGATTTCCCTGCATCAATTAACAATCAAGGCCCTCTCCTACAGGCATGCATGCCCACAGGTCAAGCTGATCTAGGCAGTCCCTCATTCAGGCTCCCCCTAGGTGCTCTAAGTGGTAGCAAGTAGACATTGAAAACCATGTTTAATGTTTAAATCAGCTGAGCACGTTTCTCTCTTTACTTGTCATTTCTGTGGTAAAAGCCATTTTACTCCTTTCTTCCAGCTCTCTGAAATGCCAGCTACATCATCTTCTGGAGTCACACCAAGACCTCTGCCTCCCATGTAACTGTGAGTTAGTACCCATCCAACAACCTCTCCCTCGCCTTCCCTCCAATTCTCCCCAGTTCCTGGTGACCACCAGTCCACTTTTGGTGTCCGTGAAAGCAGCCTCTTGAGATTCCACAAGTCACATCACGTTAGACAAACCTGTATTATTCTTTGTTTGGGTTTTTCCCACTTAATCATGATCTCTTCCATCCAGATTACAAGATCTTTTTCATAACTGAACAGTATTCAGATACACACACACACACACACACACACACACACACGCGCGCGCGCGCACACACGCACACTCTACAGATGTTAATCAGTTGATGGACACTTGGATATTTTCCATTTCTTTGCTCTATTCATCATTAGATGATGATGCAGGCAGTTGTATTTTATATAGATCTGTAAGAAAATTACTTTGATATATGTTCTTAATATTTTTTTTAAATCAATAAGGTTTTCTAAACTTTCTTGACTCCTAGAGCCTGAGATAGAGAAAAGGGGAAAATGCTTTTTTTTTTTTTACTTGCCCTCATGACTACATGACGGGCCTTCATCATGGCCAAAATCAAGTTCACAGCACAAAGTGTAGCATTCTTGTCTCTGTGACTGCACACTGGCTCTGAATGTGCACACGGGAAAGCTGGAGTGATGGGGATCTTCCAACAAGAAATGTAGGAAAGGGGAAAAGAAGAGAGAGAGAAAAGAGGAAGAAAGGAGACAAGGAGGGAGGGAGGGGACGAGGAAGAAAATGGAAGGGAAAGGAAAAGAGGAAGAACAAAATGAAGGAATGGAAAGAAGGAAGGCTACAATATCTGTAATAAGAAAAACCCATTTCCTGCTGTGAAAATTACACATCCCCACTTAACACAGAAAGTCACATTGAGCAGGCACCAGCCCAGAGGCCGTCTACGGTCTTAGACCTTTGCGGTAGCCAGTGAGCACAGTGGGTCAGTTCTTACTTTGTCGACATGAACACCCACTAGCAAAGGCTGAAGGTTAATTTTTCTCTCTGACAAATTCTGGTGTGTGGAGCATTCTAATGCTGTGAACAAATGTCTGTGCAGCCCTGAGGATGCACCAACAGCACCAAAAATCAACTCCACACAAGTCCAACTTGGCGAGCCAATGAATGGATCAGGCTTAGGAGTAGGAGAAACGGTGAGGGTGGCTCATGGGTTCATGCTGTGAAAGCAGCTTCTTGAGATTCCACAATGTGGTTGATTCCAAAACAGCTTGCCTTCAAAGTCCCCACCCTGTAATGAGTCTTTCTCTGCCCCACCAGCCAGCTCCCAAATAACGAGGCGGAGACTTATTATTGATTATGAAAGCTCAGCCTGTAGCTTAGGCTTATCTCACTAGCTCTTATAACAAATTAGCCCATTTATATTAATCTATGTTTTGCCTCATGGCTTTTTACCTCTCTTTCAGTTGTACCTTGTGTTTCCTCTTTGTGTCCTCATCATCTATCTGTCTTGTGCCTCACCAATTTCTCTTTCAGAAGTCCCACCTATACCTTCTGCCTAGCTATTGGCTGTTCAGCTTTTTATTAGACCAATCACAGTGGCATATCTTTACATAGTGTAATCAAATATCTCACAACACTACCCCATCACCATGAACACTATACAGGAGTTACATGGATGGGATTCCACTTCAGTCCACCTTGGACCTCCTCTGTCTTCTAGCATCTTCCAAGGTCCATCAGGGCTTGGGAAGAAATAGTTGGACTCCCAGGAATCATTCCTATGATCCTTCCCTTCCCTCCACTAGGAAGTGTCAAAGCGCCCCTCACTGTCACTCAAGGCCCAGTCATCACTGATTACTCCCCCTCCCCCGTCACTCAAGACCCAGTCATTACTGCATCAGATCAGCCTGTAGGCAAGCCTGTGAGGTATTTTCTTGATTGGTGATTGATGTGGGTGGTACCATCCTTGGGCTGATGGTCCTGGGAGGAATAAGAAATCCAACTCACAATCCATGGGGAGCAACCCAGTAAGCAGCACTCCTGGTCTCTGTTTGAGTTCCTGACTCCAGGTTCCTGCCTTGAGGTTCTGCCCTGACTTCCCATCATGATGGACTGTGATCAGGACACATAAGTCAAAATAAACCCTTTCCTTCCCAACTTACTTTTGGTCATAGTGTTTTATCAAAGCAGTAGAGGCCCTAACTGAGACACTTGGCAAGGACAAATGTGGTCCAAGATGGTGAAAGAGCATCCAACTGTGTCTTGGGCTTGGGCTGAGAAACATTTTTCTTCATGCACATTCTCTTAAATCAGGCAAGATAAAGTAAGCGGGGGGGGGGGGGGACAAGAAAAGAGGGAGAAAGGAGAGAGAGTTCCAACATGTTCCAAGAAGGGCTGTGTGAGTGCTATAAGAGACCAGGCTGCTTTCTTGATGTTTCTTGATGATGCCTTAAAACATGAACCTGTGGCAAGCCTCTTGTTCACCGCAGTGATGAGTGCATAATTCACTAAGCACATCAAATAAGGTTTCTCTTCTGAAAGCCACAAAGGAAGAGAATTGGTAGAAAACTATTGAAGGGACTTAAAACTGAGTTAGAAATATTCAAACTTGCTGTACACCATTAAATGACAAAAATGGAAATGATAATTTTTCAGTACATTTTAAAAATTGAGGTGTTATTTCAAAATATTTTGCTAATGAGAATAATAATGGTATTCAATCATCAATGAATATTTGTTGAGGACCAGCTATGTGCAAGGTGCAATCCACGGCTGGAGAGGGTAGTGAGAAAGACAGAGTCCTTCCCCTCCTGTAAGGAGCATGCATTTTTGCACAGGAAGATAGTGACCATGTGCAACCCTCAAGTGGTCAAAGATGAGTTCAAACATACATGAGTACCAAGATAATAAATACAGTCATGGAAGGTAGGGGATGGATGTCAATGTGGGAGGTTGGGGGTTGTTAGTATGATCAAGGAAGAGCTCCCTGAGCTGAGACAAGAGAAAAGTAGGAAGATATGTCATGAAGCAAAGCAAAGAAGACTCAGGCAGTGATCACAGGCAACAGGGGCCTAGACAGTGAGCAGTCATGAGCAGAATATATTTTTGTTTGGAAGGAGTCTGGTGGAAGATCCACCTCAACTCCCCTCCCCATCTCTTTCCCTAAACTTGCCCCTTCAAAGCCCACCAAACACAGCTCTTCCCCAAAACCACTCCTTCAAAGCTGGCCAAACACAGCTCCTCCCCCAGAGAGGCTCAAGACCACTTCCACAGGGTATATAAGCAATATCCCAGAAAACAGACACATGGTTCTTCTGGTCTCTCATCCCCATATCCTCTCTGTGGGACCAGGAAATCACCCAGGAGCACTTTACCTATTAAACCTGGGCTTTTCCTGATTTGGTCTGATTCAGTTTGTTGTGACGGTGGTGTAGCTTTTTATTTCTGTTTAAGTTAGGGTTTGGGAGCACTTTGCAGTTAGTAGTTCCCCATCTGTGCCACATCCCAAGACCTGGGGATCCCTGAAATCATAGAGACCCAAGTCTTCTGCCTGCTGTGTAACCCCCTTCAGGGACATCCCTGAGACACGGACAAGGCAAAGGAAGAGAGGAACGTGGTCTTCCTGAGTTTAGTAATGAAGTAAAAGGGTTTCTCTTCCTTACTGAGAACTTTAACCTTTTCAATTAAACTGAGCACTTCACAACCTTTCTTTGGTTTTTTCAGTTCCCAGTTAATTACTGTGCTTTGAGCCATTATTAAGTAAATAAAGGTCACTTGAATACAACACTTATATTGCTGAGATAAAACAGTCTACTGTGGAGCAAGCTTGCTAAGACACCAGATGTTCTCAAGGAAGGTGGAACACTTCATCCTCCAGGGAAGTTTGGTAATCTTAGGAAATGAACAACTCAAGGACTTCAGGAAGTCCCTGAAACTGGCTAGATGCACTAGGTTCTTCCCACCTCAAGCAAATATGAGCAGTGAGGACTGCTACGAGACAATCTTAAATAAACCAAACTGCCTGGAAGGAGCTCAGACAAACTGAACTGCTTGAAATAGACACCCTCCACCTTTTTGAGCTAGCTGCAGATTGTACAGTGCACCCCAGGTTTCCAGCTTTTGTTGGCTGCCACTAATGGTGGGGTGGGCTTTGGTGACGCAGCTGTCTTTGAGTCATTTCTGCTCCTATAAGTAGCCTCTCACCCACACTCCTGTAAGTAATCCCAGTGAAACTCACTTGCAACATGAATTGCTAAACAGTCTTATTAATAAAAACCCAGAGCCAGATATTGGGGTAAAAGCTGAAGGATCAGAGAGGCAGAGCAGCATACCACTAGTTCTTATCCCTATTAAATTCTCCACCAAAAAGAGAATGAGCTCCTTTCTCTACCCTGCCTTATTACTTCCTCTCTCCACCCAGCTCTATCACTTCTTGTCTGTCTGTATAGACCTCCAGACCTCTATGGTTAACTAGTGGCTAGCTACTCCTTCTGATTTTCAGGCAAGCTTTAATTGTTAGAGCATCAATAAAATATCACTACATTTCCCTTTTTGTCTAATATAAAAAAGGTTATAACTATATAAGAAAAACTATATACAATAAGTACAGGCAATAAATACATCAGCAATGTCTAGTCAATTTGCATTTGACAAATTCAGAGAAAATACTTCATTATCTATCTGATCTGTGTGAATACAAAGGATTGTATCTAATTCATCTTCTACCAACCAAAAACTATCTTTTGATATCTTTCAAACTTATACACTTTACATCTCTTTAGTGGGTTTCTTTTCTGAATTTCTTAACAAAGAATACTATAACTATCTAATCTTCAACTCCCTCAGAAACCCAAGAAGGAAATAATATTAACTGAGTAAACAGGAAGTGCAAACAAGTGACTTCCAAAAAATGTGAGAAATGACAGAAACATCTGGCTGCCTGGACAGTCACCCAAGGTTCCTCTGCAACGTTGGGGCATCCATCTTCAGCCTACAGGCTTAGCATACCTGACAGACTTTTCTGTAAAGCAGGATTTTCTAAAGGGCCTTCCTACCTTGTCTTGGCAAAGATTGGCAGTCCTTTCTTCTGTGTCTTACTTGTCCATTTTGGATAGTATACTGTCAGCAGTCAATACAAGGGCATTTTCTTGCCCAGTGGCTTTTGCCACAAAGAAAGTGAACTCCATATGCAGTTTCTTCAGTTCCCATCATCTTCTCTGAAGCATATTGGGGTTGCCAAGAGTGGACATGTCTCACTGTTATAAAAAAAGAAAAAAATCTGTAATTAAAACATCTTAAATGCCATGTTCTGTAGATCTCTGAAGTGTTTGAAGATGACCTGTCTATCTAAAATATACTTCTGTTTAACCTTGAAAACATACCTAATATGACTACAAGTTTGATTGTAATAACTACTAACCTGCATTTCTTTATTATCCTAAATAGTTGGTAAATTTCAAGGACTAGCAATTCGCATTACATTGTTAAATAAAGTGTATGGTGGTATTTTACTTGTACTGAAATGTGATTTTAATTGTATGTTAATAAATAAAGTTGCCCAGGGGTCAGAGCTATTAGAGCCATAGCAAGAGCGTGGCGGTGGTGGTGCACGCTTTTAATCCCAGCACTTGGTAGACAGAGCTAGGTAGATTTCTGTGTGTAAAAGGATGCAGCCAGCATTGGAGACACATGCCTTTAATCTCAATACCAACCATAGAAGACCTGGAAGTCTCTACAGACAGGCAATGAGGAGGCAGTCATGTGTTTGGGTTTACAACCAATGAGATGGCAGAACAGCTAGACTATATAAAGACATACACACAGGAAGTAGGTCCTTTTCGGAGAGCTCTCTTGGCTGAAGCAGGAAGGGTAAGGCTCTTAGTTCTGACCACTTGGTTTTCTTCTCTGAATCGGCTCTGTGTTTCTTATTTAATAAGATGGTTGGTTACATCTACATTTGGCACCCAACGTGACAAGAATCCATTAAAAACTGCTTAACTTGGCTTGGCGGCAGGTCCGTTTTCACGCCTGGGCGGCCGGCTCCCTAGCCTGGGCGCCTGGCTCCCTAGCCCGGGCCCAGATCCGCTTGGCCTCAGGCCGGACTAACCTTGAGCTACTTGCTTAAAACCGGTGCTACAGACAATTCAGGCCTGCCCTGCCAAACAGGGCCCCTGCCTGTAAAGCCAACACACGTGGTTGGAGCTTAAGGAAGCCAGAGCCAAGCCTTGACTGGGCTCAAGCGGGAACACGTGGCTGGATTCAAGCTCTTAGGCAGAACTTGTGGCTACGCTTGCGCTCTCTCTCTCTCTCTCTCTCTCTCTCTCTCTCTCTCTCTCTCTCTCTCTCTCTCTCTGGATTCACACCTCAGACACTAGGAGGCTGTTTTGAAATTACCTCAGATTTCTACTGTTCTACGCAGACTTGGTAAGTCACTTAACATAACAGATATTTTAAAGGAAACTTTTTTTTTTTTTGGTTTTTTTCGAGACAGGGTTTCTCTGTGTAGTTTTGTGCCTTTCCTGGAACTTGCTTTGGAGACCAGGCTGGCCTCGAACTCACAGAGATCTGCCTGTCTCTGCCTCCCAAGTGCTGGGATTAAAGGCGTGCGCCACCACCACCTGGTGGTAAAGGAAACTATTTAAAAGAGAAATTTTTTCCACAAAAAAAAAATTGGGTTTTCTGTGTTCATTGGAAGAAAATTGGGCTTTGTTTGCAATTTTAGACAGTCTGACAATGGAACAACTATATGAGAAGATTAATGTTGATTGAATTATGCAGTTTATTACTATGCTTATCCTCATTTTACTATTTAAAAAGATAGTCAATTTAAGTGCCAGGATGACAGCTTTAGAAAAACTTGTTAAACCTGTAAAAATTCAGACAGAAGAAATTAACAGTGAAGTTGCTTCAAGATTGGATCATAAGTTTACAGAAAGAAAGCCTGTTTTCACACAGTCACCCTTAATTTGTCCAGTAACCATACAGCAGTTGCCTAATCAAATGACTACACAAAATATTTGGGCTCCAATTGAAATGTTAGATTTACGAAGATTTAAGGAGGCAATAGTATCTTATGGCATGCATTCCCCATATGTACAGCAAATGTTAAACTCTTGGTCAACATATAATAGGATTGTACCACAGGACTGGCAGGAGCTGGCACAAGCTGTTCTTGAACCCAGTCAAAGGCTTCAGTGGCTAACTTGGTTCAAGGATGAACCTAAAAACATTGAAAAACAATGGAGGGATAAAGGAATACAAGTCTGCCAGGATCAGCTTATTGGAGAAGGTCAATATGCTTCAGCACAAACACAATGTTTATATGATGTCCAAACCCTAATTTTATGTCGAACAGCAGCCTTGAATGCATGGGACAGAGTTGAGAAACCAGGAAAAAACTGAGTCATTTACAAAGGTTATACAAGGCCCAAAAGAATCTTTCACAGATTTTTTACAAAGACTGGCTTCAGCAGTAAAGAGAATGGTCCCAGATTCAGAAGCTAGTCAGATAATAATTGAATCTTTGGCCTTTGAGAATGCAAATGCAGCATGCAAAAGAATAATCAGGCCGTTAAAGGCAAGATCTGCACCTTGGAAGATTGGATTAGAGACACGGTTAATGTTGAAGCTCATGAGCATGATGATATGTGGGTAGGAGAAGCAATTTCAAAAGGTTTGAGGAATGTTAGATGTTTTGGATGTGGAAAGCAAGGACATTTGAAAAGGGTCTGTAAACAGGTCATTCCTAGAAACAATGTTTCTTCAAGGAACAATGGCAACAGAATGCCCCTTCCTTCTGGAGTATGCAGAAGGTGTGGTAAGGGAAAACACTGGACCAACGAATGTAGATCAACAAGGGACAGACAGGGTAATCCTTTGCCTCAGTCTTCGGGAAACTCCCAGAGGGGCCTCATGCAGGCCCCAAAGGCAATTCCAGTTCAAACCTTCCTGCAGTCATAGAGGAAACTCTTACTCAGAGCAATTAAATAACCAAATGCCTATTGGAATAAATCATGCTGGTCAGGATGATGAAACAGAGAGAATAGGAAATTCAGGAGAAAACAAAAAGAAAAATTTTTGGCAAACTTCTATTAATGAACAAAGACCAAAATTAACAATAAAAATAAATGGTGTTTTGTTGTCTGGTCTGGTAGACACAGGTGCGGATGTTACCATAATTGCACCAGAATTTTGGCATCCAACTTGGCCTCTTCAGGAGGTAAATGTTCAACTGTTAGGAATTGGGACATTATCTCAGGTGAAATAGAGTGCAAGATGGCTCAAATGTATAGGTCCAGAAGGACAGAGAGGAAAATTAAAACCATATGTGGCTAACATAGCTATGAACCTGTGGGGTCGAGACTTGTTGCAACAATGGAATACTCAGATTAACATCCCTCCAATCTCAGAAACAAATCATAAACTAGCACATGTTTCTGAGAGAAGTATTAGAAGGCATTATTCTGAGTGGTCACCAGCCATCCATATTATACAAGAACAGGGCACAACAACTGATGATCTCCCAAAGACACCAACAGCTCTACCTTTAAAATGGTTAACAGACAAGCCTGTATGGGTCCAGCAATGGCCTTTAACAACAGAGAAACTCCAGGCTTTAGAAGAGCTGGTAGAAGAACAGTTAAATGCTCAGCATATTGAAGAATCAACCAGCCCTTGGAATTCTCCTGTATTTGTTATTAAAAAGAAATCTGGTAAATGGAGAATGGTAACAGACCTTAGAGCAATTAACAAAGTAATTCAGCCAATGGGCTCTCTACAATCTGGAATTCCTTTGCCTACTCTGTTACCAAAAGGATGGCCTCTCATAGTTATTGATTTAAAAGACTGTTTCTTTTCAATACCCTTACAAGGAAAAGACAGAGAAAGATTTGCTTTCACAGTGCCTACTTATAATAATTCTCAACCGGTTAAAAGATTTCAAAGGAGGGTCCTCCCACAGGGAATGTTGAATAGCCCAACTCTGTGCCAATATTTTGTACAACAGCCATTGGAAGTGATATGTAAAAAATTTCCTAAATCTATAATTTATCATTATATGGATGATATTTTACTAGCCAACTCAAATGCAGATACTTTAGAAAGAATGTTTGAAGAAGTAAAGAAAATTTTGCCTTGCTGGGGATTAGAAATTGCTCCTGAAAAGATACAAAGAGGAGATTCTATTAATTATTTAGGATATAAAATAGAGCTACAAAAAATTAGACCCCAATAGGTGCAAATTAGGAGAGATCGACTACAGACTCTTAATGACTTTCAAAGATTATTTGGAGATATTTCTCATCTATGACCTAATGTTGGGGTAAAAAATGATGAACTGCATAATTTGTTTAAAACCTTAGAAGGTGACAAGGACTTAAATAGTCCAAGAGAATTATCACCTGAAGCTGAGAAAGAATTGGCCTTGGTAGAAAAGAAAGTACATGAAGGGCACGTGGATCATATTGATCCAAAGCTGGATTGCATTTTGGTTATTTTACCTTCTAGGCATTCTCCTACAGGAATATTAATGCAGAGGGAAGATATTATATTGGAATGGATATTTTTACCAAATTAAAAATTAAAAACTTATGTGGAAAAAATCTCTGATTTGATTTGGAAAGGAAAATTGAGACTTCGTCAATTAGCAGGAATAGACCCAGCAGAAATTGTCATACCTTTAACTAAGGAGGACATTGAAAAATTATGGACAGAAAGTGAACCTTGGCAAAGAGCTTGCAGTAACTGTTTGGGAGAAGCTAACAGAAAATATCCCAAAAGCAATAGAATTGATCTTATAAAGAGAGCTGATTGGATCTTGCCTCAAATTGTACGGGAAAAACCCATATCTGGAGTTCATACATTTTATACAGATGCCAACAAACAAGGAAAGGCAGGTTACAAATCAGAAAATTTAAGTGGTTCAAAGTCCTTATAATTCAGTTCAAAAATCAGAATTGTATGCTATTCTGTTGCTATTAATGGATTTTTCAGAACCTCTCAACATAGTAACTGACTCTCAGTATGCTGAAAGAGTAGCATTACATATTGAGACTGCAGAATTTATCCCTGATGCTTCAGAATTAACTTCACTATTTATCCAATTACAAGATACAATCAGGAAAAGGAGTCATCCTTTATATATAACTCACATCCGATCCCATACTGGTCTGCCAGGCCCTCTAGCACAAGGCAATGATGAGATTGATAAATTATTGATAGGAAATGTGATGGAGGCCTTAGAATTTCATAAAAAATGTCATGTCAATAGTAAAGGTTTAAAAAAGGATTTTTCCATAACCTGGCAACAAGCCAAAGAAATAGTAAAGAAATGTCCCACTTGTTCCTTCTACAATCAAACACCATTACCAGCAGGATGTAACCCAAAGGGTACTCAAAGGAATGAAATCTGGCAGATGGACGTGTTTCACTTTGCAGAATTTGGAAAATTGAAATATGTACACCATACCATTGATACTTATTCAGGATTTCAATGGGCAACTGCTTTGAGTTCTCAAAAAGTTGATTCTGTAATCACTCATTTGCTAGA